GAGGGGCTCGCCCAGGCGAGGTGAACATGCTTTTGGATCCACACCATTTGTTCTAGAGGAATAGCATTTTGATGCAAGTTTGCCACGCCCCAGTACCCTTGGTCGCTCGCCCTTGATTGTTGCTTGTCCACTGCGGCTCAGATAATCTCAGTGTGAATGCCGCTGGACATACTCCGCGTGGCAAGCGTTCTATCCCATTTATGCAATGGCTACGGTGCGTCGCCGGTGCAACGCTTTTGAATCTGTGTTTGCAGGCTGCAACATTCGTTTCGGGGCCGCCGTTACCTTTCCCTCATGCCCCTTGTCGTCGGTTGAAGCTGCCATTCGGTCTGCTCTGTGGTGGGATCTCCATGGTGTGTTGGAACTACAGAGGGTCGAAGAAAACTGGGTGCTGACCAGCAACGCTGATAGGCTCGCGTTGACCCCTGAAGTTCGCATTGGTTCGCCAGACGTGCTTCGAGATTTCTGCACTGAGATGGCTCTGGACCGAGCTCCTGGTTGTAGTGTGGTTCTCCTGGACCAGGGCGAGAACCGCTGCTCGGGCTTCTTGGTGAATGCCAACCATGCGCTCGCGGATGGTCGAGCCATGACCAAATACTTGGAGCGGTGTATGGAGATCTTACGGGGTGACGCCTCTTCCACCTGTGGCGCGACCTCTGCTTCCCTGGTGGATTGGGGCGAGTTTCTCGATAGGGATGTAGAGCCGGAGTTCTTGGATCAGCCTGGACCGCCGCTTTTGTTGAGCAACATCAGAAGAGCTTCGGCCCCTTCTTGTTCTTCAGTTGAGATCCGCCATGAAGTTGACGCGGTGCTCTTTGGCCAAGCGTGTGAGAAGGCAAGAGCGGGGGGCTCCTCCGTGACGGGTCTCCTTGTTGCGTGCCTTGAGCTGGCAGCCGCCGCTGCATTTTTCCGCCGTTCCGAGGAGCCGACGTGCAGTCCCAGCGTTTCAGTCCTGGTGGACTTGCGGCCCCATTTGCCGGACATGCCATCCACCGCCCAGGCCATTGGGACAGTGACCACTGGCGCCAAGCTGGATCGAGCGGCGCTTGACCCGGAGCTCGGAGGCTTGTGGACGCTGGCCGCTGCAGCCACTGCAGACATCAAGGCGCGTGTCCTGAGGGGTGAAGCCATCGCACAGGCCAGATCGCTGACCCAGGGCCGTTTCGATCAGGGCGGAGCCCCGGGGACCATCGAGCTGAGCAACTTGGGGTGTCTCAGGTTGAAACCCGGGGAGCAGATGCATTTCAGCCAGAGGTTCGATGAGTACGAGGGCTTGAGCATCCTTTCCCACCAGAATGGTCCTGATGGGCCGCTGCGCTTCTGTTCCTCTGTGGGACGGGGCAATGATCTGGAAATCTTGTCCGCATTGCTGGACCAGGCTGTCAGCTTTCTTCGCCTGGCCGCGGAGTAGTACGTGGTTGTGCGCAGCACGCGTTAAGGATCCCCTCGGAAAACAAAGTATGTTTCCGGAAACCGAGGAGAAGATTGAGCAGCTTCTCACAGGGTCCTTGCAAGAGCTTGCCATCTAAGAGTCGGACCCGGATACATGGGATCCGACTCTGAAGTGGTACCATGAGCAAGTGGAAGATGTATGCCAAGAGTTCCGCAGCTTTCTGGTGCAGCGACCGAAGCCACGGCTACATGAATCGCGGGCTGCTGCCAGTTGCTGCGTGCGTGAGTTTGGGAGACTCCAAACGGAGAATTGTTCAGGTTGGTGCAGCACACCTATGTATATGCGGCCGGTTTCAATGCTCCATCCTTTCACACATGCTGCCTCAGAATGAGATGCTGTTTCAAGAACAGCGGCGCCCTGCATGTGAACTCGGGTTCAATGTTTCCTAGAAGGGCAGAAGGTCAACCTCAACATGACGGTCCTTGTTGCCATCAAGGCCCCAATGAACGGTGCTCATTACCAAGGTGTTAAGATTCATGATGATGCCAAATGATGCTTTCTGGCACTGGGGCTTTCAGCCACTGAAACGCCTTCGCAGGGGTTTCGGGTGTTAGCTGCTTCATTTTGGGCAGCAGAAATTGTTGAAGCCTTGGGCTGGCATTGGTTCGAAGTTGCCTTTGGGACCACATTGTTGTTTTTTGCAAAACCAACCGCATCCGTAGTGGGTTTGTGCGGCGGATGCTACGGCCAGTTTTCTCCGGGCCTCGAAGCCTTGCGCGCGGCTAGGTGGAAGACGCCCGGCTTCTTCGTGTCAAGGCGGGCGGGAGGCTGTCAACCCAAGAATCCAAAACCACAATCCTTGGATTGGACACCAAACAATGGGTGCATGCGCCTAGCACGGACAAAAGATGTCCCATATAGCCCGCTGCTTGGGCAGTTGTGTGGGTGATCTGATGGAGAACCGTGTAATTTGTGCAGGATCACAACCATATGCTTCTCCACTCACTTAGCTGGTCCATTGAAGTATTGGCAGAACTCATTCAAGCAATCCATCCCTTGCTGAAGGGTACCTGGTTCAAAGAGGTCAGTCAGAACTTCTCCACGCCGGATTGAACACCAAATCCATGCATTTCTGAGAGAGCATGCATGCATTTGAGTGTCCAAAGGTTTGGGAGCAAACCCAGGTCTATCATGTCATGCCCCTGTTGCCAATCTGTTTGAAATGATGAGATCACTCTACCACCAGCACTGGCTTACCTCAAAAGAGAAATAGGCGCCCCGAAGTTCCAACCAGATTAAGGGAATGTTCAAGCTCTTACTAGAGGTAGCCTCTGGGGCTCTTATATCCGCACGTTTTCTTCGAACAAGTGGCATAGCACTGAGACCCATGACACTTGATCCTGCCTGTTGAATCTTTCAGCCGAAGGCCTTCTAGGTGTTGTCACGTCCGACGGCCACGAAGTGCAGGATGTGACATGTCAGGCCAATCCGGCAGTAAGTCACAATAGCGCTCTGTCAAATGGTAAGCTTTCGATGCTTGAACCAAAACCAGCAAGCCACAGGTAGTTATCCTCATGTTGAGAAGACGTGTTTACGATGGGTTCCTGCTTCGGGTCAGAACGAGTCGCTACTGGGGCTTTCTTGGGGTTGGCTGCCTCCAAAACCCACTGGACAAGTGCCACACTTCTCCATGAGTCAGCCCGAGTGAAGTTTCGTCTTGTTCCTTTGCTTCTAGCCATTCAGCTGTGGCCCCCCAGGTAGTTCATGCAGCCGGCGGAGACTCCGAGTGTTTGCCATCCGCAGGTCCTCAGGCTCAAACCTTCTGAGCTGCGGACATTTCCGGTAGCAATCACGCCATCTTCGTAAACTAACCGCATGTGGCTCTTCAGGCGACTCGGGAGAACTCGGGTGCAACGGAAGGGTCGGCCGATTTTTCGCGAGATGAGCCATGATGGCGCCGACTCTTTTTGTGGTTCGATGGACTCAGAAATCCCAGAGCTAAGGTATCGGACATTCAGAAAGCGCACCGAGCGTCGCACATGGTAGGAACCACCGCGCCTTCGCCTAGGGGCCCTTGGATGATCTCAACTAAACAAAGCCAGCAGGGGAGAACGTCGTTGATCAGCGTCCAGGGTCTGTCGGGCGGTCCATACCTGTGGTTCACGTTGGCTCAGTGTGAGCAGATGAGATCAAACAATCAAAGTGCTGCATTTCTAAAGAGCTTTTGGAGACTGATCTGGAGGCCAAGCAGCTTTTGCCAGATCAACTGTTGCAGGACTTAGAACGTGCAGAAAGCTACCCCTCAAGTCGTCAAGCTGATTTCATAGCCTGTCCAGGCCACACTGCACCCGCAGAATCCATGCCGCGGCAAAGTCTTTCGGTGCGTCCGCGCTTGTTAATGTGGTTGGTGTCGACTTTTCTTCAGCAACAATTGACTTTGTCGGCAAGCATGAATAATCTCTTTCAATGTCAATTGACATTGCCTGCAAGTTATCAATAACAACAATTGAGCTTGCCTGCAAGTTTCGACTAAGTCCAGTATCTGTGCATCCCCTCAAAAAGGCGCCCCGACGGTCGAGCTGGGGTCCTTATTGCCTCGGCAAGCCTTCCAAATAATTGTGTTAGAACTAGCCATCTCCAGCTGGCTGCTTTTTTGGTTCCCGTTCCTGTGTGGCATAAAGTTCATGGCTCATGGATAGAGGAAGCAGGGGAAGAGGTTCAGCTTTTGAATAACATCCTTCCAGCATGTAGAAAAAGCTGGCAGCGCGTGGTTGGTTTGTGAAACATGTACCTCAGAAACTATTGTGAAATTAGGCCACGCCCAATGCTCTCTTGGTGTCATTTAACATCCAATCAATCAATCTCTGGGAAACAGTGATTTACCAACTAAGTGGCCCTGAAAACGAATTTTCAACACCCATGCCCCACTGGTTGTGGGACGTAGCCGCCCAAGACGTTTACCCACCCGAACATGCACCAGGAGATTCCTGGCCGGTCCATTTGACCCCCTCTCTCACACTGCTTGTGGGAATCTATGGAGAGAGGAGCTCTCTCTCTCTCTCTCGCTCTCTCTCTCTCTCTCTCTCTCTCTCTCTCTCTCTCTCTCGCTCTCTCTCGCTCTCTCTCTCTCTCTCTCGCTCTCTCTCTCTCTCTCTCACTCTCTCTCTCTCTCTCTCTCTCTCTCTCTCTCTCTCTTGACACAGTGGATGAGCTTACCTTCACAACTCTGCGAAGCCACAAGCAACAGCTGTAACGTCTTGGTGAGACACCAAGACCTGCAAACTGTTTAGTTGCCCAGGAAATCCCCTTTAGAGTGCCAAAAAATCATGCCGCCACCTGGTCCTGGGGATCAACAGGCTTTGCACAGCTTCGCATGGCGCAGGCGGGATCCCGAATCTGCTCCCCTTGCTGTTGAGGCACAAGGCCGGGAAGTTTGACTCGTTCGACTCGTTGAACTCGTTCGACTCGATTGACGCGATCAACGTAGCTCGCGTGAGGCAACGGCAGTCAAATGCAACACAAATGCAACACGAGCAAGCTTTAGCGGAAGGGAGCACACGCGCGCAGGGTTGTTCGAGGAATACTTCCATACTATTCACGCGTTAGATGGTTCAGCTCCAATGTCCACACATTGGGAATTGATCTTCCATTTGCTTAAATATTTTTAATTTTATGTTTATTTTCCCATGCCATTGCTCATGTTCCTTTCCCGCTTCGGCCATTGTCCGCGGGTCCATGCGCTCAGGTCCACAGTACAGCTCTCCATCCCACGCGGCGGCGCTGGGTAGGAGCTTCGAGTGGCACCTGCGCGGGGAGCCCTTGAGACTTCTGCTCTCCACCGCCCCCCGGCATCTAGGTGGACGTTTCGCAGAAAGCGTCCATTTCTTTCTCCAGTCCCCGTTTTTTTGGGCCCCTCCTTTGTTCCAAGCCTGAGATTTGAACAAGGTTGAAACACTACTTGTTTGGGGACATCGACGGGGAGAGGAGCTTGTGAGAGCCCTGGAGGTGTGATGGTAGACGCCACCAAAATGACGGCACTCCCTCATCGTGCCTGATGTGTTAGATGCGACGGCCCACTGCAGTGTCAGTTGAATGGAAAGTGATGGGGTCGTGGGAACTTTGCGGGTCAAAGAAAGCAGCTCAGCGCCTCAACGCTTCATTCTGATACAACAGCCTCGAGTCATCGACTTCAGGTCGCCAGTGTGGGTGGGCAATATGCAGCGCTGGGCGTCATGGCATTGACGGTATTCACCTCGACCACGCTTTTTATCCACTGCGACAGCCGAGTCGAGCCGATGCTTGTGGCCTTCGCCTGCGACGTTGCCAGAGTTAGCTTACCGTTTGATGTTTTTCCCTTTTTGATTCTCCTGCGGTTTTCCCTTTCTAGCAAACAGTAAGAGGTTTTGGCCGGGCAGATTTGCGGCCCTTTATTTGTCCTCCCAACCAGCAAACATTTAGTTCACTTTTTGCAGGGTGGTGGAATGGGTTTGGGGCAGGTGAGTGCACGAAGTCCAGCATGCGATACTTTGTGCTGCTGGCGCTGGTAGTGTCTCTGCTCATCGCCCTGCGCCAGATTGTAAGGCCGTGGTTGCGGAACATGTGTTTAAGGTTGCCTTAAAAAGGGGAGTGTTCTTGGTAAAAAAAGTATTAAAAAGAAAAACGAAAGCATGGTTAAGTGACTGCGCTTAGTTTTGCTCAAGTGACAAACTCATCTTTTTGGTGATCAACGAGTCTTGGGGATGGACGGCCCACTTTGGGTCTCACAGAAGCAGGCAGAGGATCTACTACGAGATGCTGCGGCGCGGGGTGCTGTTGGATTTCGAAGCCGTGAGCCCTTTGCAGGACAACCTCTTCATCTTGCTTTGTGGGTGCTTGGCCTTTTCCCTGTCGCACATCTTTGTGGTGGCCTGGCAGTACAACCACGATGAGAAGACTTGGATGGACTTCATGAGCTTCGTGAATACCCTAGTCACGAGACTTGTCGGGTTATTTGCTTGCTGCTCAGTAGGGAATGTCCCAGAATGTCGGGAATGAGCCTCAGGATTCCCGTACAGGAAACCATCGGGGATGGTTTATTCCCTGCTGAGAACCAGCAAGTTTACGACACACCCGTGTATGGTTGGGTTGGTCGCTTGACACTTGTCGACTGAGCCACTGAATCACCACACTTGCTCTGAGGCGAACTCTTGAGAGGTTTCTCCGCATCCATAATGTGTTGTGGGAGGGTGTATATGTACATATATATATAATGTATATGTATATATGATATTTATATATTTATATGCAGATTATGTTTGTCTCTGTCCCCAAATTCTTTCATGTCACTTGTCTTCTGGACAAGTAGTTAACTCAGGAGATACTTGGCCCACTCCTGTGTCTTCCTGGCCTTCCTTGCGACTGCGTACGACACTGACGCCCTGGCAGCAGGTTGCTCCCCTCAGAGAAGCCCGAACAACAACGACATGATCGCTATGAACTTGAATGGGGGGAATATGATGATATGCTTTCAGATTTCAAATAGTCGGGCATGAATCCCCGAAATGATGGCCAGAGCCCCAAAGCAAATACAAATGCCCATACTTTGGACAGGCCACAATCCTTAAGAGCGAAACAACTTGGCACTCCGCAATTTGATCTGCTCGCGTCGGCAGGTGGTCACCCGCTGTGCAAGTATGACGGTAGCCAAGTCGAAGACGCGTACTTGCTTCAAAAAAGCACTTCAAAAAATGCACGTCTGTAGAGACGATGACAAGTCAAAGTCTGTGACAACTTGCCACAATCGGTTGAACACCACCTTTCTGCACAAACATCTGCAAGCCCCATGCCCCCTTTTCGTCCATCGGAGGTAATTGGCTACAGAAATCGATTTCTTCAAGACTGGGCATCAAAATGGGAGGGGGGGGAGTGCTGGGATTGCCAAAGTGCTACCTGAAAGGGATACTTCTCTGGCCAGTTTTTGGGATGCCCCCTAGGAGGGCCAGCTGCTTCCCCTCAGCAAGTACGTGGAAGAAGACCCCCAAGCTGCCCAGCCTCTTGACCGCATCGGGGTGCTTGGTATGCTGCTTGTCATGTCAATGGTGTTCTGCAAACCTAGAGACTCCTAGTAGTTGGCTTGCCTTTATTTTCCCCGCTGCAACACAGCAGAGGAAGTCAGTTTTCTATTCCAAACATGCGCGTGGAACCCTGTCACTTTGAAGCCCCAGTGATCAAATGGACCCTTTATAGACTTTCCCCGCTTTCATTCCTCACGAAAGCTTTCTCGGAAAGAGTCTTCCAATTTCAGGAGGACTTGGAGCTGATCAACTGCGTAAATGATTGAAAGCCAATAAATGGCTGTGGGTCAAACATAGATACCCAAAATGGAACCTTGGTAAATGGACACATGGACTAAAACCTGCGGTTTTCTAGTGGTTTAATTTTGAGCCACCCCCAAATGATGATCCCGTTTCGTTAGTTCCATCAGGGCAAAATCACTTGTCGCCCAGATGCCTCATCAAGCACATGCTTGTGATCCCTGAATCTGCTGCGGTGTCAGCAGTGCAGCGCGGGCTCCTCTGCTGAAAGCCGTTTTGGAGCATGAGTTTGGAGCATTGCTCGGGAGTGGTTTGGGTGGTAAGGTGGAGGGGCGGAGCCAATTCATAGGTGATTCATACCGCATAGTCAACACAAATGGCAATATGTTTTTCCCGAGGGAGGTTGTACCGACTCCTTTGTTCATACCCCTTTGCTCTTTGGCCGCCAACCCACTGTTAATGCGTATCTATTGTACCTCTATATATATATATACATACATTGGACCCGTCTGGGGGTACCCAAAATCCAACCGAAGACGAAGATACATTGCGAAAACCAATTCCCAGCAAAGTCGCAGCCAGGCGAAGACGAATTAGCCATGGAAGACGAATTGCGAAGACAAATTCTGCGAAGACGAATTGCAAAGATCTGGGCAAAGACGAATTACTGGGCGAAGATGCGCTACCCATCGAAGACGAATTGCAAAAACAAATTCGGCGAAGACGAACTACAGGGCGAAGACGAAGTGGCCATCGAAGACGAATTGTGAAGACGAACTGCACGGAGACGAGTTGCCAGTCGAAGACGAAATAGCCATCAAAGGCGAATTGTGAAGACGAATTTCAGGAAGACGAATTGCCAGGCGAAAACAAAGTACCCATCGAAGGCGAAATGTGAAGACGCGTTGCGCGAAACAAATTAAACAATTGCCAGGCGAAGACAAATTGGTGCCCGAATTGAAATCTCTTGCGAGGATGAGTTGCAAGGCGAAGACGATTTGGGAAGACGAACCTCAAACATGAATATCGCCCGTCATCCACAACCAGCACAATCCAATGACCGTTATTTTGTAGATAGATGCAAAACGGCCGTTGTTTGGAAGGTGCTTCCGCATGCAAGAATATACGAAACGGCCGTTTTTGTCCATACTAAACCCCGAGCTCATGTCCAAACGCATGAGTGAAGGTTGCAGTGTTGCTTCCTATAATGTTGCACTGGCTGGAGAGCTGGTGGGCGCAATTAGTGTCAGCCCCTACCCGTCATTCCTGTGAGTCTCTGGCTGTTTTGGGGCCGTTTATGGAACGCGTTCGGGTGTGACACGTGGTGACATGCAAGTGGCGTGCAAGCGACGTGCAAGACGAGCAAGCGACACGAAAGTGACACGCAAGTGAATCGTAGGTGACACGCACACGGAGTGTAGTGACACGCAATGACGCGACACTGTTTTTGCAAAGTGTCGTTTTTTCGATTTACTGACGCGCAAGTGACGCGCAGGAGCGCGATGACATGTGAGCGAGTCACAGTGGTGACACACACACACACACACTTATGACACGGTAAATTGCGCGACACGCAAGTGACACGCAAGTGACACGCAAGTGACACGCAAGTGACACGCAAGTGACACGCAAGTGACACAGGCTGAGTTGGAATGCCGGATTCCAGCTTGAAAAGCGGATCCCCAAAACTTCATCACGGCCCCTTTTCAGGAGGGATTGGCTGGGGGATGCTGGAATGTCGGCATTCCAGCTCAAAAAGCGGCAATCCCTCCTGAAATGATGAAGGTTGTCTTGAGGATCCGCTTTTTGAGCTGGAACCCGCCATTCCGGCTTGAAAAGCGGATCCCCAGCCAATTCTTCTGGAAAAGGGGCCGTGATGAAGGTTGTCTTGGGGATCCGCTTTTCGAGCTGGAATCCGGCGTTCCAGCTCAAAAAGCGGATCCCCAGCCAATCTCTGCTGAAAAGGGGCCTTGATGAAGGTTGTCTTGCAAATCCGCTTTTCGAGCTGGGAATCCGGCATTCCAGCTCGAAAAGCGCCTGAAAAGGGGCCGTGATGAAGGTTGTCTTGAGGATCCGCTTTTCGAGCTGGAATCCGGCATTCCGGCTTGAAAAGCGGATCCCCAGCCGATCCCCAGCCAATTCTTCTAGAAAAGGGGCCGTGATGAAGGTTGTCTTGGGGATCCGCTTTTCGAGCTGGAATCCGGCACTCCAGCTTGAAAAGCGGATCCTCAGCCAATCCCTCCTGAAAAGGGGCCAATCCCTCTGAAATAGTAGTAGTAGTAGTAGTAGTAGTAGTAGTAGTAGTAGAAGTAGTAGTAGTAGTAGTAGTAGTACTAGTACTAGTAGCAGTAGTAGTAGTAGTAGTAGTAGTAGTAGTAGTAGTGGCAGTAGTAGTAGGTGTAGTAGTAGTAGTAGTAGTAGTAGTAGTAGTAGCAGTCGTATAGTAGTTGTAGTAGTAGTCGTAGTAGTAGTAGTAGTAGTAGTAGGAGTAGTAGTAGCAGTTCTTTTGTAAGCCTTCTGTAAGCCTTTTGTAAGCTAAGCCTTTTGTAAGCCTTCTGTGAGCCTTTTGTAAGCCTCTGTAAGCTTTTTGTAAGCCTTCTGTAAGCCTTTTGTGAGCCTTCTGTAAGCCGTCTGTAAGCCTTCTATAAGCCTTTTGTGAGCCTTCTGTAAGCCTTCTGTGAGCCTTCTGTACGCCTTCTGTAAGCCCTGTACGCCTTCTGTAGGCCTTCTTGACGCCTTCTGTAAGCCTTCTGCTAAGCCTTCTGCGCGCCTTCATGAGGACAGCCGCAGACCCGCGAAACACTTTATGTGTATTCATCTAAACCCTGCGCATCCCCTGCTGCGTTTGCTGCCACCCCTGTCATCGCCTCCCCGCGCTGTAAGAGGTCATCATCTGTCTTTCACGGTGGTATCCCGCACGTAAGCATAAGTGTCGCAATTTGCGGAGAACGCTGGTTTTCATTGGTAGCGGTTTCGGGGTGAAGCTCATCTTGGATCCCTGTGCATGGGGAGCACCTTGAAACTTGAGACGGGCCTGGTGTTCTGTTCCAGGGCGCAGCCGTCCGACCTCCAACCACATATCCGCGGCATCCCGACACTTTGATTCGCTCACGGTTCTTCTCTTTCTCCAAAAGTATCTTGCCCAGCCACAGGGCGCTTTCTAGCACGCGTGAAATGGATTGCTTGATCGCCAAGCCACCCAGACAGCCTAGGCTGTGCATGCCTGGAATGAGTGCTTACAGCTCGGACCAGATGTATGCTGCCTTGGTCACACAGTGCGAAGCATCTGCAGAGGTTTCCCAGGCGGGAACCACTTCCATGGCAGAGAAGCTGCTGGAGCAAGCGCGACCTGAGAGGCAGGGCGCAATTGCTCTCTGGCTCGACCAACCTTTGGGCTTTCTAGCAACATCGATGTTGTTGAACACTAAGGCGCTACGTTCGCAAATTTATGGAGCTTGGGCTATGTGCATCAAGCGTCAGTTCAGGGTTCCATCGCATGGGTCGGTGAAAATATCATGTTAGATGTTAACGTGACTGCGTGCGTGACCAAGTGTGTCTGTGTGTGTGTGTGTGCGTGTGTTGTGTATATGTGTGGGTGGGCGGTGAGTGCGTGCGTGCATGCGTGCCTCCGTGCGTGCTTGCGGGCGGGCGGGCGAGTGTTGGTTGGTTGGTTGGTTGGTTGGTTGGTTGGTTGGTTGGTTGGTTGGTTGGTTGGTTGGTTGGTTGGTTGGTTGGTTGGTTGGTTGGTCGGTTGCTTTGCTTGCTTGCTTGCTTGCTTGCTTGCTTGCTTGCTTGCGTGTTTGTTTGTTTGTTTGCTTGCTTGCTTGCTTGCTTGCTTGCTTGCTTGCTGGTCTGTTTGTCTGTCTGTTTGTTTGTTTGTTTGTTTGTTTGTTTGTGTGTTTGTTTGTTTGTGTTTTTTTTGTTTATTTGTTTGTTTGTTTGTTTGTTTGCTTGTTTGCTTGCTTGTTTGTTTGTTGGTTGTTTGTTTTTTTTTGTTTTTTGTTTGTTTGTTTGTTTGTTTGTTTGTTTGTTTGTTTGACATTCATTCTATAATATATATATATATATGTGTATGTGGGTGCGTGGGTGAGTGGAATGGATGAGTGGGCAGGTGGGGTGGGGGTTGGGCGGGGTGGGATGGGGTGGGATGGGGCGGGGTGGGGTGTTGCGAGTGGGGTCAGTGGGTGTATACATGACATGTGTGTTATGTAAGTAGACAGTTTGCGCAGCTGCAAATCTTGGGTCAGCTCAGCCCTATCATTCACATATGTTAAGTCAAGACTCCCATGAGTACAGGAGGGCAAGCAAGCAGTTTTAGAAACCTGGTTTCGCGTTGGGTAAAAGCACTGTTTAACGGCTGCTGTGGGATGCTATGACAGAATTTCCCCGCTAGATATGACAGATCTACAGGGCGTTTATCCCCCGCCCCCCCCTGAAAAGCTGGAAGGCCAAGGCATTGCGAGAGGCCAGTGGACGCTACTTCCCCGCAAACGAACATTAAAAAAGAAAAGACTCGCCCAAAAGGAGATTCCTCCCAAAACCAAAAAGTTTTGTTGTTCTTGTTTTCCCCAAAAAAACAAAAACAGAGTCGCCCAGAAGGAGACAGAGCTCGTTCTGTTTTTTGGTTTGGGGGAGGCACACCAAGTTCTTGGCGGAGCTGTGGCCGGCCTGTCTCCTGCTGGATCCCCGGCTCCAGGACGAGGAGAGCGCCAGGCGCCGAAAGAAATTGGTTCCACATGAACGCCGTCTCTCGTGTTTTCCGTATTTTACCTGGTTGAGTACGGTTTAATTGTAGGATGGGCATCACAGGCATGGATTCCCGGAATGAGTTGACTGACTGAACTGTCCAACTGGTGGTTTTGGGGATCCCAAAGGGCCGAACCATTCTGGGGGTAATGTTCAGCGGACAATTTAAAAATAGCCCCTGAGGGGTTCTTGAAGTCCCAAGCAAAACCAAGCATGTTGCAAAACCAAAACGACAAAATCAATAGTTCTTGTTCAAGGGTGGGAGGGGAGTTGCAAGAAACCCAGGGCGTTTACCCCCCCCAACCATGGAAGATACCCCCGAACAAGAAACACAAGGGGAGGTTGAAGGACAAAACCAGGGGTGTTACCAAACACCCTGGGATCCGTTGCCCAAAACAACACGTACAAAGGGTGGCCTGGGCCTTTCCACCATGTGAAGGTTTGGGTTGGGATTCGGTAAGCCAATTCCCAGGGGACAAGAGGTGGCGACTGGCCTCTGGAAACATGGCCCATCCAAGTCAACATGCCAAGTTGTGTTGAAGCTTAAGCTTGTTTCACGTTTCACCTTGGCACCAGCTTCGAGGTTCAAGCGCGTGTGGTATCTGATCAACGGCTGCGCCGTGCCCCTCACCTTCTTCATTCTGATCTTCTTCTTGCGGCAGATCCGCAATGACCTTCGCGATGCGGAAGCGGGTCAGCAGGAGGCACGGGGAGGGGGATGGGGGGATGGCCATGTGCAGGTGTCAAACTTGGCATGCACTGGACATGTTGCAATGGCTATGAATATTTTTGGAGACCACCCTCAAAAATGATAGATTAACACAAATTCCCAGTAAAGATGTCCACCAAAGCGTCCCCAATTAAGATCATTCCCCAAATCTTTTTCTCCTCCAAGGGTCCTCAGATGTCTCCACTGTAGTCAGCACTTGGATACGCTCAGGATATCGGCGGCCTGCTGGTGGCGGCGCTTTATGGCCTTGTCACACTGCAGCTTCTGATTCATCTCTGGGGCCTTCTCTTCTTGTCGGCCAAGCCGGGATTCACTGGAGGAAAATGATGTACTGGAGGTAGTGGATACACAATGGATCTTCACATACGAGGCGACAAACATAAGCTGTCAATGATTCCACTCCATGGACGTAGCTGTCCCTTGCGCTCTGACCGTCATTTCCTGAAATGGAATCATCGGAACACAGGTAGCGCGATAGAAGAAAAGATGTGCTTCCGGGAGCACTGAGCACGACTCCCTTTCCAATCCAGCGGCCAGCGTGTTCCATTTGGACTGACAGAGATTCAAGGGGGCAAAACGGCCACATTTGAGATGTTTTCTGTGGCCAGCTGCCTGACAGTTGGGGGTTGACGTGGCCTGCTCAGCCTTTTCAGGCTCCATGTTTGAGCCCTGACACCACAAAAGAAACCGGCCATGAAGGGCTTCTATGCTTCAGGACCCGTGAGGGAGCAATTTCAAATCCCATAATTGATCATGGTTTGTGCCTGGTTTACTTGCAATGAATATTCACTTGCCAATCCGGTCAACCCGTCAGGAAGCCTTGTTGACACTTTTGAGGCAAGTGTGGCTCTCACATTCCGGTGCAGGGAACCGGCCGTCAAGCATTTAGGGTCCTTTGGGTCACCTGGTTCAGGACACCGCAAATTGTGACGCAAATGGCTTTTGTCTTTTTGGGTGGTTGGAGGTTATGAATAGATGTGGCCCCTTCTGTGACTCCCAGTCAGCCGGGGGGGTGTCCTATTTCCGTTCCCAAGAACTCATCTGTCTCCGTTTGCCATTGGCCCGGCTTCAGCCTAGCTTCTCAATCACTCTGTTCATCAACTCTTCTGGCGGTCGATCTGCAGGCCAGTTCCAAGGATGCCACCTTCTCCATCAAGGCGCCCGGGTGCGGTGGTGAAATTAGACTGGACGCCCAGACTTGCGGAACTGATTCTGCGGAACCTGAAACCACGGTGTTTCGAGCAATGCGTCCAAGGAGTGTGCGAAACTCCTTGCTGCAGGTTGGCTGCATGAGGTGTTTGCAGAGGCCCTTCGTGGGATTCACGTGTTGTGTTCTGGTGAACTCAGCGGACAGGGTTTCCAGACACTTCCCTTCCGAAACCGCGCCAGAAGTGGCAAAGACAAAGACAGCGACAGAGACAGCGACTGATAGAGGCAGAGGGAGACTTGCAGAGCCGCAGAGAGACAAACATGCTGAAGCACATGCGAGATGTTTGCCTGCGCAGCAACAAGGAAAGCGTTGCAATGCACATAACCCATGTAAGATGACCCCTGTATGGCACTTCTTTGCATGAGCGCACTTCTGATAAACACCCCAGCAATGTCAGACATGTCATTCTCACAAGGCTGGGCCCCTCCCTCCCCCTCTCTCTCTCTCTCTCTCTCTCGCTCTCTCTCTCTCTCGCTCTCTCTCTCTCTCTCTCTGTCTCTCTCTCTCTCTCTCTCTCTCTCTCTCTCTCTCTCTCTCTCTGTCTCTCTCTCTCTGGGCATTCATCGAGTGCACACTGGATGGTTTGGCAGGCCACAATTCTGACAACAGTTCAATCACTGCGCTTGCCCTGCTCGTTTGCCTCCCCAAATTGCATGAAATGACGTGGTGGTTCTATCAGAAACTGCAGGTTGATTGCCTTCAGTCATACGTTTCGGAGTATCCTGGGTCCTCCAACAGTTGATGACCGAACTCACAGTATCTTGATAAGGACCAGGTATCCAGACTGGAGGAGGTACCGAGATGCAGCCCTGCACGCCAGCATAGTTGCATCATTCCCTGTAGCTGGAAGAAAACACCCATAGCAAAGGCAGAGTGCCAGCGGTTTGCTGCGTTTGGTCATTTTTCCCCTGCCAAAGCTACGTTCGCTTTGAACAGGTCAAGTCCATGGACTCCAATGCGGGAACCTGAGAGCGAGTGCTATGAGGCACAGGTATTGGTCCACTGGCCATGCGCATTTCTTTAAATTAACAGAGGACTCATAATCAAGGCACAGCCAGTTGGCCGTTGTTTTTTTTGCCTTCACGGTTGCCAAAGAAAGGCAGGGGTTGTCAAGTTGTCAATACTAGCCCCACATAGCACGAGCCCAGGACCTACCGAAGCTTTTCAGCCTCTCATGCCAAGTGGTCCTAACTGGGGATCCAGCCACAGGTTTGGTGGCAAGTGAGAGCGAGACAAACTTAGAGCCTCTAGCATTTTTTAGACGAGGGGTTGTGCACTTTTCTTTGCAGAGTGGGCCTAATCAGCGGCCAAGTTGGTTGTGTCTTGAGCGGGATGGCAGGATGTGGTGCTGAGGCGATCCTGTCAAGAAACCAGGACGGCATTGAACTGGCCATCGACCCAGGTACCTATGTGGTCACGCCTGGGTGCCCAGAGCATATTTAGCAAGATGTCATTTTTTCACTTTCTGTCCCTGTGCTCGGCGGTGGCCGCGGCGGCGGTGGTGGTGTTGGTGGTGGTGACGTGCTTTGTACTCAAGGGTGATGGCTGGAAAAGGGTGTTTTGATTCACGGTGTTTGCATTTGCTTTTGTTTGTCCATGCATTTTTCTTCCTTTCACGATGTGCATTTCTTGTGCGTGCTTTCTGGCTTTCTTGGTTTGCTTATTCTGTCTTTGCATACTTTTCTTGCTTTCCTGCTCGCTTTCTTCCCTTGCTTGGAGATTTCTTGCTTTCCCGGCTTTGCGTTGCTTGCTTGCATGGCGGGACGGCCGGCCAGCCTGTCTGCCTGCCTGCCTGCTGCCGATGTTGCACTGGCTCGCTGCCTGGCCATGCCTTTGTTTCATTGTGAGAGGCTGTGCTTGTTTAGTTTCTATCATGGCGGATTTATTTTCCACACACCTACTCTCTTGCGAGTTCTTGCTTTAACAGGAGTATTCACTATGAAGGTGCAAGGGCCATCGAGCGACATGGAAGTTGCGCGAACGTGCCATAGGACAGCAATTCTATGAGGGATGCGTTAGTCGTTGGTTTGGAGGGACATTGTTATTTTAGCCTCTTTTAATCATTGCAAAGCAATTGCCGTATATGGGGTTTCATTTTCCTGGCTTTGCGTCTCGACGTCCTGTTCGACCAACCCCCAACGCAGGCCACATCAGCCACGGATGTTCAGCAACGTAGGCCACACCAGCCCCCACAGCCGGCCTTCCTGCTTCTGACGTGCAGACGCTCTTGTGGGTGTGGCTCAAAATTACGCAGGAGGGGGTTCGCAGGTTTGGGTCCATGCTTCTACTTACCAGGGTTCCATTTTGGGTACCGATTTTTTGAGCCACAGCCTTGTGAAGGTGTAGAAAGTACGGCGTTCGCGTCCAGACACCTGGTTCAGAGAGTTGCAAAGGGGCTGTGGCTCTGCATCACCTCGGCTACTCGAAGTGACTTTTTTCCACAAAGGTTCCTCACACGTTTCAGGCATCGCCGGTTTGCCTCACTGAAAGTGGGTGAACTTGGGACTCAAGAGTGCTGGCGTACTTCCTGTGCCTTTTTGGGTTTGACAAACATGGTTTGTCCAGGGCTCATGGCAGGAAGCAGGAGGTTGGACTGGATTGAGCAGAGTTCAGCCGCCGATTGCTGAGTCTGATGATGCGCTCCGGCAATGGCAAGCCCCTGTCCGTGTGCTCCACCTTCTCCCTGAACCTTCTGCTGATCGAGCGTCTCGGAAAAATATGTTTGTGCGGGATTTCTGATCGCTTGCTTTTGCACCGCCTGATTACGTGTATGGATGGAATGGGAGCTCCGGATTTAGGCCTTACGCAACATCCGGCTGAACCCATTCGGGCTAGCTGGTAAGAAGCATTCAGATGTAAAGAGCTGGCTCCACTCTTTGTCTAGTCGCGCAATTGAATCCCGGTCCCCCTTCAGCTGACTTCTCCTGGTTTGACAAGATGTCTAGATTCCTTACACGGGTTTGGCCGCTCTCGTTTTTGTGGGGAAGTTGGGTGATCTCGTCGAACAGCTGATGCTGTGCTGTCGGCCTGGTTGAATGAGCCGAAAAAGTCCCTCTGGCCTTGACAAATGCGCGCATGGAAACACAGCTTGCATGGACCCTTCCAGGAGTCGGGTGAATAAATCTTTGGGCATCTGTCAGTACAGTAAATGTCCAGCTTGTCTACTGTTTTTGCCCACGTGGACGAACTAATATCTCCAGCCCTTCATTATCTTGATTTATGTCATGTTGGATTGTTAGACAGAAGCTCCTACACGAAAGCTTAGTATTTGAACATCAAATTGATAGAAGGGCCTTAAAAGCGGAGTGAACGCAGAGTCCCAAGCAGAATTGTCATGCAGCTGAGGCACAAGATGTTGCACGGGCCCCAGACAAATCGCAGCAACAGCAGACTTGCTGATTGAGTTTGCATCTTGAATGCTTGTTGGCAGCCAGCACAGGCAGGCTCGGGCGTTTGGCAGTGCTTGTCGCGACATCTGGGGGAGCAATGTCTTTGTACCAAGATGGCTTACACACCTCGATTAGGGCGCTGAGAATTCACGGCTGGAGCATTTGTAGCGGTTCCTTGTCTCTTAGCGACTCTCACCACAAGACTTCTACAAGGAGATGCATACAGGATAATTTTGGCTTCGCGGTCGCCTTGGGGCCTGGCTTTGACCAAGTCTCAGGTACAGCTCACTTGTCCAAAGCCGAGCTTTCGACCTGCTTTCTGTTTCCGAAATCGTTCAGTCCACTACGAAACCATGCCCAGGCTTGATTGCATTTCCTGGTTATTTTTGCGCCGACTCGGCCGCTGCCCACGCAGGCCATTCTGCCCTTGGGCGCCAAGCTCTTCGGCTCCTCGGCCAATAGATCAATCAACGTGGGTGCGTGTGTGCGTGTGTGCGTGCGGGTGTGGGTGTGGGTGTGGGTGTGGGTGTGGGTGTGGGTGTGGGTGTGGGTGTGGGTGTGGGTGCGGGTTTTTGAGTGTTGGTTGAAGGGACGCCAAAAGGGAAGCCCACCATTTTTGTGGCACCCCTTGACATTACCACCAAGCCACTATTGTTCAAACTTACGACGCCTTGTTGGCTATTAGGGGGAGGAGTTGGAGACAAATGTTGCAACCAACCCGGGGACCTGCCCATTAAGGTATGTGTGACGTTTGGCTTTCCGGTGTCAAGGCGTACTCTCAACAAGCAAACAACATGTTCGCCTTGAATTTAACAATGTGGAAGCCCCTCAAAGAACGGTGGGTTGCAGAAGTCCAACCACGTAAGTGTTGTCCACCGAAGCGTCCTCAATCAAGCATCATAATCCTTCCTTTGCGTTGCGAAATCTGACAAAGTCACCAAGAAGCCCTCATCGCGGGGCGATTTTTTTCTGCAGAGAGGAACCAAGGCAACCCTTGGACCCTTCACTTGACTGCTACTGGGTTGGATCTTTAGACTTTCACTTTGTGGGAAGTAAAGGGTTTTTCCACTAAACCCACAAAAAGTTTAACTTTTTGCAGGGGGGTCAACAGCAACCAAGTTCATCGTCCGGTTTTCCGCTTGTTTGCGAGGACCAATCTGCTGCCGCAGAGGCGCAGAGGGCGGCCAGCGACCACATCGGCAATGCCCGGGAACCGGGACGAAGCGAGGGTCACCATGTGAGTAGCGCAACTGGGGTTTACACTTTTTACACTTTTTAGGTTACCCAGTTGAAGATTATCTTACACTTGCAGATTATCTTTGAAGATTATCTTACATTTTGTTGGGTTCACAAAAGAGGAGTCGGAATCAAACATGGGTTTTGAGTTCGGCAGGGAAGCAAGATGTTTCTCTTTGCCGAACTCAACTTTAAGTCTGTCCATCGGGTGCAACAAATGGAACCCCGAGTGCCCAAACATTTGGCACTGCCTTTGGCGTCTTTTTGAGGACACTTTTGAGGATGGCTTCACACGGAAACAAGAGGGAATCAGGGAAACCAAAAAGAAACACGGTTTTGAAAAGCCAATGGAGAATCTACATGTACCTGAAACCAGATCATTTTCAAGATGCCCTGCAATTTCTAACGGTAGGTACTCACCCACCCATCATAGAACGTGGCACATCGTCTGTCTAGGTGCCCAAGGTGGCCATGTCGCATGGATTTTCCGGCAAGCAACATGTCTAAAGCGAGCCTTGGGAACAGTCACAGGATTCGGACTGCGGAAAAACTGGTTCTATTGAAGCGATCATGGGTATAAAAGCGGGTCTGACTAGTCTGGGCAAAGTGCTTCCGCCGCCTGGGCGTGTTCCTTCTGGGGTAACCAATATCCGAGGCAAGGCCTTAGCCTTCTATTTTTAAAGGGCGGTCTATCTACGCCCTTGACGCTAAAGGCCTTACTTGAGTTTAAGTTTAGGAGCTCCTGTTTGAAGTGCTCCCCAAACCCTTATACCCTTTATAATACACAGCAAGGCCACACAGTCGCGCAAAGCGGGTACCCCACAACAGCTCCTGGTCCGCTTTAATCTTTCTGTTTTGGGGTCCGCTTTACTGCCACGCTTTTTTGGTGGGTGTGACATTCCAGGATCAAAGCCTTAGCCTTTACTTTCAAAGGGGGGGGGGCGTATTTGAGACCTGTGAATCTGAACATAAGTGTTGGCAATTTGACAATACTACATCAAGTTCGAGGAATCTGAGATCAAGTCTTGGCAATGCTTGGCAATATCAAAGTCAATACTGGAAATGTGACAGTAAGTCTTGGCAATACTAAATGTTGTATTGGGAATAGTAAGTTAAGTGTTAGCAAGTCCAAGTCCAACCCAGACTCCCCTGCCCCCAAAAAGAGGGACTCTCCGAGATAACTGTTGGCACTGTTCAGGAAGATTCAAGCAGACCCAACATTAGGGCAAGAGGCTCATTTCAGGACTCTGAATTATGATCCCCAGAACTGTTTCATCTCGCCCAGTACGAATCAGCCGTGTGAATTCCCACGCTGTTCCTTTGACAATTTTTCCGAGATTAAGAGTTGGCCAAAGGGTCTGAGTCTGCGGCCCAAAGCCAGCCTCCGTTTGCCTTTTGGGTGTGCCATTGTGGGTCATGTTGTGCCAAGGCTTCAAAAGCTTAAACTTGTCATTTCCAAGTTGTTTGGGCAAGTGCGACGGGCAAGGTCGTTTGAAGCGAGAGGCCTGTTGATGGCACCTTCGTATATGGAAACAACGGCTAAAAACTGCGCAACCCCAGCTGATTAATTTTGAGCCAAACCCAAATCAACCGCAACACTAGACAGGCAGCGTGAAAGCGACGTTGAAGGACATTCCACCTGCCCACAACCCAATCGACTCCCCAACGGCGAGAATACCGGCTAAACAGTCCAGTAGACAGTTTGTGCACAAGGCCTGGTGTAAGACGTGTTCGCTTGGTTTCTTGAATTTAATTCGGCCCGATTTTACGTGTGCCTCCCACTGCGTTCCATTTTTGGTCTCCAGAGACGGATTTGTTTGCTGTTCCTTGTGTCAGGTGTGCCGCCAGCTGAGGTGCTGACGAATCTCGTGCCGCAGAAGATGTCAAAGGACATGCAAGCACCAGCCTGAGGATGGCGGAACTGTGCCTGCGTCCTGTCGTGGCACATTTGCTTTGTTGGGGTGTGGCAAAGGAGTTCACAAGGAGGTTGGGCTTTGATAGCCCCAGAATGGTCTTCCTGGCAGCGTTTGTTAGGACCTATGTCCAAGTGACAGTGTGATATGAGAGCCTTTGACTCTTGGGCTCGATGATGGAGTATTGCACACGGGATTTGAGAGCATTGGAGCGCTGTCCTCAAGTGGGGTGACGTCCTCAACTGGAAGCCTCCAGTTTTCCGTCGGTTCGTGTGCGAGTTTTATCCTGAGTTGTGGTTGAGTATTGATCTGGGCTTTATCCCCAGTGGTTGCGTGTGTTGGTTTGCAAGTTGCAATCTGAGTCGTCCACTGGGCCGAGTGTTCTTCAGTGAGTCTACACAGACTTGTTGAAGTCGCTGCCGCTTTGTGTGGGCATTTGCGTGCCATGGGGATTCCAACTTGGGAAAGTCGTAGCCGCTTGCGTTACCGTTGGGGTTTGTAATTGAGTGTGTTCAATGGCGTTGAAATTGGGTGCGGAGTAGTTTCGTGTAGATGTTGTGGGCCGTTGGGATTTGCGCGCGTGTTCTTTGGCTTGTCGCGCACCTTTGTTACCTTTGTTTCCTTTGCCTCCTCTGCTGCTGCTGCTGTTGCTGCTGCAGATTCTGCTGCTGCTGCCGGGCCGTGTCTCATCCGTCACACTTGGGGGTCTCGTTCGTAATTCAAAAGGTCTCGTCCGGGGTCTCGTCCGAAAGCCCCCTGCAAGTCCTCAACCCGAGCTTCTCAGCACTCTCTTTTGTGGCGACTTGAGTTTCATTGTGGTTCGGCCATTGGTGCACGATGAGTTCCACCAACGCTTCTTTTGATTGTTGGGGCTTGAATTCCACGGTCAGAACCACGAGGGGTTCCATGCGAGTTGGCTCCTTTCCAACTGACGTTTTTAACTTTCCCTGGGACTTGCGTTCCATGCATCTTGTTCACTTTGCGGCATTCTGGCGCCAAGCTTGGGCGAGTGTTGCATGCAGCGTTCCATGGGGTTTGCTTGCTTTCCGAGGCTGAACAGCTATGCGTTTTTCTGTGGCAGTGACTTGCGGTCCATAGTGTTTTGCAACTTGGCGGATTCTTGACAACTATTTTCATTGAAATGATTGTGCATTCCATGCAGGCAAATTTTGGCGGTGACTTGACTTGGTGGATGGACTGCGTTCCATGCGGGGTAACCTTGCCACGTACAAGTGGCAGTGACTTCGACGATTCTGTGTACTTTGAGTATTGTTTAAGTGTTGGTGCGTGCCAGTAGACACTGCCCTGATTTGCGACTAACTTGCCATTGTTCCTGACAAAGCGTTGGTGGACACATCCAGCGGCATTCGTGCACTCGTTATCAGCCAGTTAGCGGCAAGTGCAAACCATTGCCATTTCTCACGCGGGTGTGCCGGTGTTGTTAAAGGTTCCCCTTTCCATTTGAGCGGGAACTAGAAGAACACCACCATTTTTAGGTGCCGCTCATGAAATATTCTCCTGTCTGAGGAGGCTTCTTTGGTTCTCACTTTGTGCTGAGGAACAGAAGCCGGTCACCCTGTGGATGTCGCAGGGCATGTCCAAGTGCTGCCGGCATGGGCTCGGGTTGTGATGTCTCTTTCGCAGTCCTTGTTTATTTGTTAAACAAACTGATGGCACTGATTTCAGGACGGTTCTAATGACCTTTCTCCAAGCTGTCCATTGGAAGATGCAGGGTGATGTCCTTCGAGGTTCTCCTTGGGAATCTTGTTATTTGGCCAGTGACCCACCGGTTTGCCTTTTTGGTCTTTAGGTTTGCCCACCATGTTTTCCATGCAGTGATTTATGCAGGTTGTTAGGACTTGGGATCTGCGAATCTGTGAACGTTGCAGGCCAGGACTGAACAATTTCGGGGCCAGATGGTTGGTTTCCTGTGAACCTGGGCCTAAAATGGGTCTAACTGCCGTTGATATGACATACCCAATTTCTGAGAGATACATAGAATTGACTTGCCACGAACTATTTGGATGCATCTCTGAGGGACTTAAACCCAGACACGCATTTGAGTAGACAGCATGACTCCAACCTGGCGTCTTACAGGGATCACCTGGTGTGCATGAGTTTGCCGATGGATGTGAATGGTTGCAATACTTTGGGAATCCATCGTACCAAGCTTCAACACTTGGCCGAGTATTCAGAAGGAAACTGATGGAGCTCGCCGTTCTGGGATGATATTTGACGAGAGTTGGCTGCGCAAGATCCAGCATGGCAATCAACTGGAATTCCCAAGCGTGGCATATTCAGAGGGCCATCCGCGCGGTCTTGTCTAGCAAGTTTCTGCCTAGCAACTGGAACAGTAGTAGCCTCACTAGCCCCCCAATCCACGCGCAAGAGATTCTGTATAGTAGAGGTGATTGGAAATTGTGTGTATACATATAAATATATGTATATGTGTATATATATATATATATACATATCTCTACACGTGCATATGCAAATATATTCTTGTCTGCATATGGTCAATGCTCGTGATTCAGAGCACCATGCCGTGCAAGGTTTGTTGACCTGACCTTGGACACCACTGCTGCGGTAAGAATCGATGTTGCGGCCTCAGGTTTCAGGTCGGGACCCGTTGCGGTCCCATGCGCAGGCCCGGCATAGTACCCTCTGGAGATAAACATCGCCCCCTCCCCCCAACTCATCACGTTTAGAGGCATCTCCTCTTGCTGCTCGTGTTCGTCTTCGTCGTCTTCTTCTTCTTCTTCTCATTGATATTCTCATTCAACACTTTTCCGGTCGTTTCTTGGCGTGTGAGCGTCAAGGATTGATAGGTTTCTGAATCTGTGGAAGGTGTGTGTTTTGCACGCGGTGTCTTTTGGCACTGACCTTTTCGGGTGCTTTCCGAGTGGAGCCCCATGTTCCACCGCCATCGGTTTGCAGGTGGCTTGTGCCATGCAAATTGCTCTCACCCTAACCCTCGGCTCATTCTGCTCTCCGTTGGATTCGCTGCCGCCATTGCGTTTTGGACCAGTGACCTCGGCGATTCTACCCGGCCTTCTAAAATGCCTGTCACAAGAAACACGATCCTTTCAACGTTTCACTTTGAACAGAAGGCAACGGAAGGGGGTTGAAGCCTTGTCGCGCCGAATCGAGGTCTCGATTCAGCCCCCTTTTCTGCCGCTGGAGGTGGAGCTCAGGAGAGATTTTTCATTGTTCCGACTTGGGGGTGACGTGTGTCCCAGACCACTTGGCTTTGAAGGTCCAGGGGTTCCCTTTCAAACTGACGACCCAACAACGGCGGCCTTTTTGTTCCCAGGCCACGGGGGGATGAGGATGATATGATGCGCTTACAGTTGGGTGGAGGCAGATGGCGCAATTCCAGCATTTTGGTTTAGTTCAGTCATCCCCTTTAACGGAATGAGGTACCCTTCTGCCGCATATCAGGCTGGACTGGTGCTATTAGGATCTGTAGACGACACCCGTTGCGGCGGACGCAGAGGGGTGAGGCATGAAGCGTATGCTTGCATCCAGCCGCGAGCCTGGCCAGGGCACACCATTCTTGTAACATGTTTGCCAGCGCGACTGATGTGTTGCTGTCTTATGACTGATTTTGTTTTTAAGGTACTGCAAGTGTACCCGAGTTTGTGGACAGCTTGTTCTTATGCTATGGCCGAAACGCAACACTTTCTGTAACGCACCATCCCATTCCAAGTTCTAGTCAACAGCAAAGGACTTAGTCAGAGCTGGAATGCATTCGAGCCACAGATTTTAGACCGAAAGCGGAACCCTGCGAACAAAGCAACTGAGCAACCCTAACTGCATGTCGAAAGCCACTCGTGAGCTTCAAGGATTTCTGTTGGCCATGCTTAGCTTGCAAGCAACGAAGCCACCAGAAGCGTACTCTTGAGCTTTGTCGTTCGAGGGACCACTTGGAATACCGCCATCCGCTATCAGGCTGAAAGCTATCCTTCCCAACTCTCCACCTCTGCCTTCCAGAGATTGCTCCTTGTGGAGGTTTCTAGTTGTTGCTCTCCAGAAAAACTTTGCCAGCCATTGTTGCTCCTCCAATGTGAACCCGCAGCAGCCACTTGCTCAAGCCCAAGCAACATGGCTCATCCATATTCAATGCGAGTTGTTTTGCTCCTTTCTGTGGCCCATGCACTCACCCACAGTTTGGAGCAAAGCCAGGCTTGCGATTCAACCGCAAGCTTGTTGCAAACGACCTTGGAGCTCCGGCAGGGAGCTGCCAAAGAAGCAAACGTGCAAACGACCTTGGAGCTCCAGCAGGGAGCTGCCAAAGAAGCAAACGTGCAAACGACCTCGGGGCTCCAGCAGGGAGCTGCCAAAGAAGCAAACGCGCAAACGACCTTGGGGCTTCGGCAGGGAGCTTCCAAAGACGCGCGCCGCCCCAACTTGCTCCTGATTTTGCTGGACCAGTGGCGCTTTGATTTCGTAGGACCGTCTTACTTTCCATCCGCACAGCGCCTAGGCAAAGAAGGGGTGCATTTCAGCCGCGCCTACACGGCTTCACCCATGTGTAGCCCAAGCCGTGCGGCCCTGGCCGCGGGCAGGGAGTTTTCCGGGATGTGGGTCGGAAGCAATAAAGACACTTGGTATGATCAGATGCCATCGCCCCCTTTGCCGACCTTCATGAGCACGCTCCGGGACGCAGGGTACGCTACCATGCTTGCTGGCAAGGATCATTTATCCGATCCACCTTTTCGGCTGCAACCAGCCATGGAAGCCTCAGGGATTGAGGACTCCGCCCGTGTGGCGGACAAGTACGCGCTTTGCGGGTTTCCACCTCCTTTCGCGGATGACTATGGCAAGTACCTGGCGGAGCTGGGTGTGTTTGAGCAGCAATGCGCTGTGCATGGAATGTTTGGCTTCGGAACCGCCTGCTCCCCCACACAGGTGTGCGATTCCACCGGCATGGAGTGCGGCTTCAGGTGCAACATAACAAATCCGCTAGAGGCAAATGTCAGTGTGGACAAGTGGGTTGGGTCCCGGGCCCGGCAGATGCTTGTGAATCACCGGAGTCGATATGGAAAAAGCAAGCCTTGGTTCCTGCAGGTGGGCTTTTCTGGCCCGCACCCACCCTTCATTTTGGACACTCCTTACCGGCTCGACTTTACCGAGCCGGAAGCCTTCGACGCCACCTTCGATGAGGAGCTGGTTTTCCAGGAAGGGGTGCTGAAACGCATCCCTCACAGGTACAAGTCCGTCATGAACGTGCCCGAGAGCCGTGCGGGGTACGCTGGGTTGTTGAAGCTCATAGATGTCGAGATCCAGCAGATCTTGGAGTTGGTTGAGCCGGAGCGTAGCAACACAGTCATCGTGCTTACATCGGACCACGGGGAACACCTAGGAGACCATGGCTTCTTCGGCAAGGAGAGCCCGATGGAAGTGAGCCTGCGGATCCCCATGATCATCACAGGGCCATCCATGAGAACAAATGCCGTGGAGGACGGCCTCGTATCGCTCATTGACGTGGGGAGGACTTTCATTGAGCTGGCTGGCGCAGAAGTCCCCCCGAGCATGCAGAGCCACTCTTTGCTGCCCGCGCTGCTGAGCTCGGGGCCTTTGACTCGTGATGTTGTGATGACTGGCCTCGACTACATGGAACAATGGTTGGACTCCAATACCAGCCTGGGAAAGAGCCAGTTTGAGACCGCGGCTGCGATGTTTCAGGGCAGCTTCCTGAAATTGATTTGCTGCCCTTCGGGCTGCAGGAAGCAGGGCAGCTTGCTACAAAGTGTTGGCTTCACACCGCAGGTGGCGCTCATGAACGTCACCGATGGCCACGGGGCCACCAAATACGAGCATAACGTGCTGGACCTGGACTCGGGCTTTGGTGTGCCAGAAGCACGGCAACTGATGCGCCACTTGGGTGACACTTTTCAGGCGGCTTGCTTGCCACTGCTGCAGTGAAGCTAGCTGGCCACGGGGTGCAGAAGGATGCATTAAGCAGCTCACAAGCAAGTTGGCCCGCCCAAATGGCTTAGGCGACCTTTTCCTGCGTGCCCCAATGTGTCCAACAGATGTCAGCTCGGGGATTTTTAGTCAACAACTATTTCAGTTGGAAACCTCCCACACTTTTCCTCAACATGCGTTTCATGTTTTGTGTGGGCCCAACCAACCTTCAGTGAGGCACGAACTGTTGCTGCCATAGTGCACGGATGATTTTGGCACAAAAGCAGCTGCGAAGCTGGTGCCGCCGAAGGTTTTGTTGGTTGTTTTGCTCAGACTGCGGATTGCGATCCGAGCGTCCGAGAATGCACTCAGGAGGAAGCGCGAGACAAGCGCTGGCCTCAGGGAACTCTTGCACCCTCGAATCGTCGGGTCATAGAGTTACGTAGACGAAAGTCAATAGACGGCTGGTGGGAAGTCTAGTTCAACCCATGGCCTAGAGATGCCCTGTTTCTGGAAGAGATGGCAGGCTTGATGAGGGATGCGAGGCGCAGATCCAGCCAAGGAGAAAACCGATGCCGAAAAGTTGGGTTCACTTCTTGCCAGTACGCGCCTTCCACTGTCTCCTGGGCCGCACATGTTTCTTTGTGTGCAAGTGGCGCAGAAATCAGCCATCCGCAGCCAAACCTACGATGCCAGGAATCCACCGCAACCTGTTTGCGCCAAGTGAACTGAGGCAAGTTGGAAGCAGCTGTGGCCACTGCAGAGTGGCCACACCGGCACGTTTGACCAGCATGTCAAATGGTTTGACTTCCGCGTTGTTGCAGATGTCTTCCCGAAATTACGTCCCTGTGGAGTTCCTCATTTGAGAGATGCCGGCAGTATGTGTTGAGTGTCAGGAAAAGTGTTCAGCCCGTCGGCTGTCAGGCCACGATTGGTGCAGGATCTGTTTTTTTTGCACATGTACGTAGGTGGTGGGCGATCGACTTTGGACATGCTGAGCGATGTTTTGTGCCTTCGAGCTGCAGTAGGGTACTGGGGTCATCATTTGACGATTTCTAGTTGTGAAAGTCAGAAGCTGGGGAGGTTTCCCCCAAAAACAAACACCACTTGGGGGGTGACTTTGATAGTAAACGAATGTCGCCAGGGCCTTCTTGAACTGGGCCTTTTTGGAAGTCAAGTTGTCAAGGGGTGGTTGTGGGGAAATCTCAGTCCAACCTTCCATCGAATGAAGGTTGCAACCGCATGGGAACGGAGAAATTCCTTTTGGCTTGTCCTTGTTGCAAAAAGTCGATTTTTTTTCGACCTTGCGGTAGTTTTCCTCGGAGAGGTCAGGGAGTTCCCCTTTGCCATATGCGGCGTTCTGTTTCCAAAACCTGGCTGAGGAGCATTGCCTGGGGCAGAACGGGAAGATATTGAGCATCAAAAGACCACCGGTTCAGCTTCAAAGACGCTTCAAGTCATGACTACACATATTGCCTTTGATCACCTGGTGCCGGCAGGAGGTGTCCAGGATTTATGGGTCAGTCGGAGTTTCATGTCTCTCGTGTGAAGCGGTTTTCCAAGATCTGCATTCCACTCCTTGTGGCAAACTTTTTGGCGACCACGAAGTACAGCCAGGCTTGCGAACCGTTTCCCTAGGATTCCCTGGCTTGGTTTGGAATATGTGTGGTCCCAGAGGCCCGGTGCTGTGCCGTTCAGGACGGAGCATCGGCTGCTGCTGATGTACAACGACCTGCCTGCTGGCAAGTCCAAGCCTCAGCGCGCAGAAGGATTCAATGCCCCGATTCTTTCTTGGCTCTTGGGGTAGCCTGAGATTGTGGTTCTCAGTGAAGGAGGCCGAAGTCTCCAGATCTTTTTGTGCGACTGCATGCCTTCGGAAGTTCAGATGCGCAGAACGGGAGCATGTCCGCAACCAAGAGTTTGGGTGCTCAAGAAGTCAAGTGGATCAGCAGGTGCTTGCCCGACTTGACTGCTTTCTGGGCCCCTATTTGCCAGACTTATCCATACGAGGCCTTGCTCTGTTCGGGATTCATATGCAAACATGCAGCGTGCCATCGCAGACTAGGATGGAATTTGGCGTCATTGAGGGTTTTTACTGAAACCACAACATCCCGCATCTGTGTGAATCGATACTTCTTTGTCTTCCCGTCTCGTCGGTTTTTCCAGACGCTTGTGGATCTGCTAGACGCAGGCCGCATTCGAGGCAAACTTCAGGCACTCGGTTTCATATGGTATCATATTGTGTGAACACTGGCAGATAGAAGACCGCGCCTGCAGCCCGGATCGCTGGTTCTGTTGCTTTCTGTTCTTTTTCTCGGGATTCAAAGAGGTGATATGGGGGTTCTTAGAATCACATTCAGGAGCGGTTTGCCTCTTGCGCTCGAGATGACAAGTGTGTCTTTTGTCAGGTACCAGATCAACTTTCTGCAGGGAAGGGAGTACATGGCCTTCTCCAGTCAAGCCAAGCAGGCCTGATGCAGCTTGACGCTGTTCCGTGTGTTTGTCTGTGTTTGTCTGTGTTTTTCATATGCAGCCTGCTGTTTCAACACGTTTCTTGCATGAGGGTGCAGCATCCTCATCATCGTCACCACTGGCGGCCTCAGTCTGTTCAAATAAGTTGATGGACCCCACCCCATCATGGAATTTAGGGATCCAGGGACGCAGGCACAGCACAAAGGCGAGAAGCACAGGGCACGTTCCAAGCCCGTTGCGGGCTCTAGTCTTCAAAACTCCTACATCCTAGCTCATTGCCTTCGCGCATTTAGCTGTGGAATAGTTCTGGAACCTGTGTGACTCACTCAGAGCGTCTTAGCCACTTCGGGGTTTTACCCCACAAAGCGTGCTCAGGTTACACAGCATCTTTCGGTGCCAGCGTGAATGGCTGGTGATATCCCCACCGGCCTATGGAAAAATCGCCAATCTAGGTAGATGGACATGTGCAATAGGGGGGCTTCGGAACGGAATTGGGAACCCATTCCACGAGTGGGACCTTGGCAGAAGCCAGGAGCTGGGGCGCTCGTTTACTTGTCCACGCAGCGATTTATGGCCTGAACCGTGCTGACATTGATTTGAAGCCCACAACTCATGGCCTCCAGTCATACGGCAATGTGGATATGGGAGTCGTCCAAAAGGTCCTTGTATTGAGATGCGAAGTGGTCATATGTGAGTTCTGCGATGGACCCTCATGAGGGCAATTTTTGTTTGGCAAATGTTTCGTGAAACTGGTCCCGCGAAAGCTCCGCGAAAGCTCCCGCGAAGGTAGGAATTTCGGAGGCCATGTCTCAAGCCAACCACATGCTTGGCTTCCACTCACCGTAGGATCTCTCGGAGCTTTGCGCGCACCTGACCATCTCAGCGGAGGCCTTTGCTTTCGGGGCCAATTGAGTTTCCCTTTGGCTCATACGGGTGTGTCTTTTTTGAGGAAACCGCTGTTTGGTTGGTTTTAAAGGAAAACCAAAAGGACACAACCATCTTGGAGGGGTCCCCCAAAAAAAGACACACCCATATGGGTGTGTCTTTCTTTTTAGGGTTTTGCTTTTTGGGACGGTTCTAATGGGAATCCCAAAGGAAGCCTTCCGGGCGTTTGGGTGAGGATATGGGAACGGCGCAGCGCACAGCTACACAACTAAACAGAAGCCTCTCGACTTTAGATACCTGATAAATGCCATGTTGGACTCTTAGAGCCTGAGAGTGAGACAACGTGTTTTGAATGGTCATACGGATGCTACTGCTTAGGAGATGTGATGTAAGACATCATCATTGTACTTGTGCTACAGTTATCAGTTTTGGTTGATATGTGCTGCGAGACTTGAATGGCAGAAAAGTCATAGCACCTGGCACCTGGGAAACATGTGAGAGTCGTTCTAAAACCCTTGCTTTGTTTTTTAGGATGAGGTTTGTTTTCTTTTTTTTCCCGGGCGGTTTGTGTAGGGTTCGAGTCGCGGAAGCTCCGCGGAAGCGCAGCGGAAGCTTATGACCAAAACGCGGCCCACACTTGTACTTACAAAATTGCGATTTTCGAGCTGGAGCTGCGGAAGTGTACTTTGAGTACTACACTTGTATTACACTTGAAGAACCACCATGTGCAGCCACTTTGGCAGAGAAAACGTCATTTGGTGACAAGGCCAACGTGTTTCGACGCGTTTGTCGCGGAAGCGCGGCGGAAGCCTAAAAGGGAAACTAGCCAGGAACAGACATTTAGAGCAACCCTCATGTGAGCAACGCCATGGGCAGGTTCGAAGCTTTCTCAGAGCAATGCAGAGTTCTCGGGAATACATATGCACCTGTGGGCAATTCCACCAATGTTATTTGTAAACTTGCGATGTTTGGCAGCGTGTTTTTTCAGCAGCTGGGCCGCAGGAGCAGAGCAATCGCTTGCTTATTTGTGTCAACGGCGTGTGCTGGCATTCTTGCAGGCAAGCCTGGAATGCCTCATCTAAAGTCATAAATTATCAGGTCAAATCCTTCTGATGGAGTCAAGCTCATATTTCTGGGTTCACTGAATGCTTTCTTGGTTGCCCTTGCACCCCTTTTCGTCCATTTGCTTTCATGTTCTTACACGCACACAATGTGTGGGTGTGTGCTATGTTCAGAAGCCAAGCAACACTATGCTAGGGGGTGGGTTGTTGGTGCAGGGCGGCCGAAGCAAGCACATGACGTTTGAGACCGAACAATCACAAGAATGTTCCAACTGCAAAATGGGCCACGAATACACGTGAAACATCTTAGACGGTACTTCTTTGTGGTGTGTGCGTGTGTGTGTGCACCATATGACATTATATATATATATATACATGTCTATTTGTATATGCTTGAAGATACTCTGTATTCATTTGCATGCACATCCCTACATGCAGGAGTATACTGCACATGACTTTGTGTTCTGGATGGACTTACAACGTACACACGTCTTCTACGATTATGCTTACGCCTTCAGAGATATACAGGTCTATTTGTACATGTCCACCTACGCAGGCCCCCTAAACCTACACACGCCCACGCAGACCATGTACAGATGTTTGGACACATGTGCATACAATATTGAAGCCATCAGCTGGCCCTAGCCCTGCTGAATGGCGAGTTCAACGTGAGGGCCGCACATTTGCGGCGTGAAGTGCTGGTGGTGGGGGCGAATAGAAGCGGGCGATTCCGGTGGCAGAGGACTGCTTCCTTCTGGAAGGATTCATTGGTCCATCCTTGGCTGTTTGTTGGCAGCTGTTGGTCATGCAGTGGGCCCTCGTTGGTTGGGGTCTTCAGGCGGAGTCAATATTGGGACCAACCCACACAGAATCCAAGGTTTGCCCAATGTTTCAGTCAAGAAAAAGTGGCCCATGGCCAATGAAGCCGTTCTATGGCCGGGCCCCCCGCTTTTGTGGCAGCCCCCACCCCGGCGCCTCGCGAGGTGGGTGTGTCCTCCAAAGAGGCAGTGAACACCATGCGCTCCGAGCTGCTGGATCTGCCGGACGGGGAGTCGGTGCTGTGCTTTGGGATCCTGTGCCTCTTTTCGGGTTTAACCTTCGGGTTTAACTAGTCTGTTGGGGAGTGTTTGGAGTTGTTTTTTTCTCGTCTGTAGTTTTTTTCGAGTTGCTGGGTGATGTGAGAACTGGATTTCGTTCTCACCGCCGTTCGAGGTGCCAGAGCCCGTTGGTCCTCTATCTTTCTTCCTGAGTCGGGCTTGTGTGAAGAAGGGTGTGTGTTGGATGTTGGGCTTGGCGGCAACGAACAACATACGGATGCTTCAATGATTTGTTCGGATGTCTTCCGGAACACGGGCATTTTCTGTATGGGTTGAAGTTGAACCCTGCTCAGTGCAAGATGCACATGTGGATCAACCACCACCAAAGGGACCTCTAAGTTGTGGTGACTGTTCATGTTCCGAGGGCAAGGTCCATGGGTGTGGACCACAGATGCGAGGACCTGCTCGCTGTGCAGCCACTGCCGCGGAGCATGAACATGGCCTGCAGCTTGGGACTGTCGGCAGGATAGACGAGAAATTGATGTGTGTGTGTGTGCCAAAACAAAGGCATGCGTGTGTATGGCCGTGTATCAAAGTGTGTCAAACCTGGGGCCACCTTTTTGACCAATTTTGAATTAGGACGCCCAAAGGAAACCAGATTTTGGGAGTCGCCCCGCCCCGCCACCAGTATTGTGAGCGCTGACTGACGGACCAGATTGCGGGGCGATCTTTCCTAGATAGGGTTGCCAAGCCCATTTGTGCACCAGGCTGGCAGATTTGCATTCAACCTTTTGACTTGATGGTTATGGTGCGTTGCTATTGCGCTCATGGCTTTCATATTGCAATCAGTTCATGGGGCACGTACACCTGGTGTTAGGGCAGGATATGGAGTGCCGCGCAAAAACAGTCGGCTGCTTAGCCCACAGCAACAACTCACAGTGTGCTTCGCAACGCAAATTGAGGGTTAGCTCACAAAAAACAAACATTTCAAGCGGAAGGCGGTTTGCGTGAAACGCTTGAAACCAGCAAGCGACATATATGTATATATATATATACACATACATACGGCATACCATGGGAAGCTTGCTTAGGAACATAGTGGAAGCCCAAGACGCTAGGATATTTGAGTCTATGTTTGGCGCCTCGGGCCTCAGCAGTGACAAGAAGACCTGCCAATAGCTCCATTAGTGGATGGGATCATAAATGAAAACACGTGGGCAAAGTGCGAAGGGTGGCTCGGACATGTTTGAGAGGTGGATGCTCCTGAATGCACGAATTTGTCGATACTTTGTATGGTGGGCTTGTGGAAAGAGGGTTTGTCAACCTTCAAACCCTCAGCATTGAGAGTTGGCAAGATCAGTTTCTTTCTTTCATGCGGGTACTGTTCCGCAGTTGTTATGCATGAGAGAAAGGGATGACATCCTCTACATTCACTACACGAACACAGGGACTTCCTCATACGTCAAACATCTCAGGCATTGCTTGCTGCAAGCACCCTGGATAGTGTTGCTTTCCGGTATTCCCTCATTTGTTCAAGGCAATACTTGCGGGCTGTACGCTCAAGACGGGTGGCAAAACTACAGGCTTATGTTTTGGTACTCGCTTCTGAAGCATAGCTTGGGAGGCCTAGTTTCACTCTTTAGGTATAAATTTCAAGTAGCTGCAGTCCCATACAAATACAAAAGAGCAAATCTCGAGTTCAATTCAAACGCGCAGAACACTTCTTGGCTCGCCCGTTTTTTCCATGCCCCCACGAACCGGTTGCCCTGCAAAGCCGCCAGCGCATAAGGTGGGCTGGCTGTCGGGATCTTTGGCTGCCGTGGGGACGCAGGCGGAGTGGTTGCACCCACCGAAAGCTTCAAATCCAATCGGGGAAGGTTTTTAGTCGCAGCCACATTTGGCTTGTGTCAAACTCTGTCAAATCATTACAACCCCCCCTTTTCTGTGGAGTGAAGAGAAGCCCTCCATTTGGAGCGGGTCATTGGAGTCATTGGGAGACAACTTCGCTGAAGCGAGCGGCGGGCTGTGGGTTGGCCTTGCCTCGGGCGAGCTTTCTCCAGAGCTTCCGACAGATTTTGCACAATCAGCACGACTCTGCCAACTTTTCGCCGCAGGTGAAAGCCTTTTGGAGCTGCAAACATCGTCTAGGTCCCCCAGTAGTTCCCTTTTACCCTAGTTTTGGGGAGGGTTCCCAACCTCTCTACTGGAGGACCTAGTCGTGGCAATCCATGAACCCAGTAACCGCAGATTGGTGCAGCCGACTGGGTCTTCCAGAGCCCGAAGCTAGTGGGTTTCGCAGGCGATGCTCCGGTTCAACTCTGTGCTCCGATGGTTTTGTTGTTTTCTTTCCTGTGTCATGGTGGCTTACTGGCTTACTGGCTTACTGTGGCTGTTGGGTCAGCGTCAGGGGGAGCGTCAGGGGAGAGCTGTGCAATTTAGCCTTTGAAGTATGGAAGCCGAGGGTCGTGCAAGTTGTTCCCAGGTCATTGAGAGCATGATAGATGAATGTGCATCAGACACTCAAGACGGAATTAGTTTCACTTTCCCATCCATTGCGGAAGCTCGCATGGGGTCCTGTCAAATGGTACTGTGCTTGTTCCAAACCTTCACGTAAGCTTCCTTGAACGCTGAGCATGTACTCGTCACCAGTAGCACAAGCAGGCTGCACCCAACGCGGCTTGTTAATGTGTAATGCTCGCACCGTTTGGGCAGGTATTCTTTTCTTCATCTGTTTGGGGTGGCTTCAAGAAGGAATTCAAAGGGAACCCATTTTGGAAGTCCCCCTGTTGGGGCAAACCCAAATCCATTCACGCGAATTTGGTCTGCCAGGTGTACCGGTTCTCTCAGGCGGTGCACAAAGCCGAGCTCAAGCTGGATGAGAAGGCTTGCGGCCGCAACCATGGGCTGTCAAAGTCCTAGTTGCTATAGCTCGGACACCATACAGGGAGTGCATGCATGCATGCGTGTGTGTGTTCTTCAGATTCCCCCCCCTTATGCCACCCAGTTCAAGGGCGCATGCTATCTTTTGGCTTTGAGCTGACGTGGTTTTTGTTTGGTGCCGCCCGCAAATGTTTCAGTCGAACGTCCCCATGCGGAGGCCATCATCCGGGTTGTGAGCGAGCCCGCGGACCTCTCCAACGCGGACGCGCGGAGCTGAGACAAAGGACAAGCGGCCGCTCACCGTTGTGACGGATCCGAGTACCGGGTCATTGACGGGGGAATGTTTCTAGATGTATAATTTTATTTGAATTCCGAATGATATTTGTTTTTGAGCAACATGGAGTCAACCAGTCACTCGCATTTACCTGCAACGCCGACATTTGGGGTAGCAGAGGTTTGATGCCGGAGAATGCTTGTCTCAAAGACTGCACTGGGGGCAAATCCCCTTGAGGGCCCTTCATCACTGGGTGGGCTTTCAAAGTGAGACTAAGAATCGGTTTGGCCTTTCCGTCATTTAGCCGCGGAAGTCTCTCTAAGACCAACAAACATGAGATATCGGTCTCATGAACACGCCTGTAGTGAGGACACTGGGCTGAATTCAAGTGCGATCGAAAGCCAGGATATGATAAGCCAGCCATTCTGCATTAAACTTTATGACAAACATAACTTTCTCCATGTTGTCACGCGCTTGGCTCCTTTTGAGAATGTTTTTTCTTGGAAAGAAACCTGGTGGCTGGTTGCAGTTCTGGTTGCGTTGTTGGCTGCTTTTCTGGTTGCATCGCTGACTTCGTTGATGGCTGCACATGTGGCAAATTCACCAGGAAACTGTCGTGGAAGTTGCACACAGGGGTGCTCCAAAGAAAAACACCTGCACAATTACTAATTTTGTTAAAATTACGCATGGGAGAGTCTAAGGTTCCTTGTCATGGTTTTGAACTCCAGTCGTTTCAGCCAGGTCGAAGTGACCTTGACTGTTCGACCCCAAAGGAAACCGAGCGTCTCCAAAGCGGGGCTCCGGGGAGCGGATCCGCGCTCAGATCGTGGTGTCGCTGGAGCAAGATGGCAAGACGTTGGCGGAGTGCAGGGCTTAGCTCAAAATGCGGCTGGGAGGAGTGGGAAAGCGGTCTCCTCCGGATTTGGAATGAGCACGAAAGCAAAAGCTGTGTACTCAGGTGGCAAAACTTTCCATCTTAAATCGGAAGCTGCGAGGGAATGCACCCGAACAAGTCCCGAACATGGCGCTCGGAGGGCCCAACGTTGCCAAGACTCAAGTGTCCGGCCTGGGCCAAGATTCTGTCGAGCGGCAGGTGAGCCTTGGGTTGGCGATCTGGGTTCTTTTCTCTTGGTAGCATCTCTGTAGGAACTGCCCTCTGATCCAGGTGCGACCCAGCAGTGCCAGCAGCTTCAGACGTCACAGTGGAAGATACTTGCTTCTCTTCCAACAAGTGCGAAAGAGAAATGGTTGGGCGGGGTGGAACGAGCTTGACGGCCGAGCGTCAGCCCTGAGTGAGGTCGGACCGTCTCGGGCAACTGGTGGCAGAGCTGGACAAGGGCAACTACGCCCCTTGCCTTCTGGGGGAAATGGGATCCCTTTGTTTTTCATGAACTGAAAGATCATTTCCAGGGAGCAACATATGTGACCGCTGGTCTTGGCAGGCGATCCGTTTGATGTCCTTAAGGCGACCAAAAGGCTGGCATGTTCTCTGCAATGATAGAAACTAGTTGCCAAGAGAGTCCAGTTTCGAATGTGGACGGACAGGTGGAGGTTTGCAAGACACCTGCATTTACCAATTTCAATTCGCAGGCAATTGCTTATTTCTTTCCAAGACAGATCCACACGCATTCGACCAAGAACCTCGCATAAGAGGAGAAGCCACACAGCTAGCTGAAGGTATGCTTTGAGTTGACAGCACTTGGTGAGGAGTGGGAAGCAGAGTGGGATGCAGACCTGCCCATCCATTTGGAGCGCTTGCTCATTTCTTCTGTCAACAACTTGGGTTGTAATGGGGTAGTGAGGAACAGGAAAGCTTGCTTTTGCTCGCTCTCGAGCATTGCTTGGTTTTGTTGTAACAACTGGATGGTGTTTATTCGCAAGCACTTCTTGGAACTTATAATGCAAGGCACTGACATTTAGGTCTGCTCTAAAAAGGCTAAGTTCAGTGTAGTTAAGGCGAAATGCCATTGCGTTTGAGGTAATGGATTCATGTGTATTTGGACGAGCATGCAGCGGATATGTTGTTTTCTTGTTCCTGTCGGACACCGACCAGTGATTTGGACAGAATCAAACCTGCAAGGCAAGACACACACATTTAAACTTTCCTCCCTGCAGACCAAGCAAGCAAGAGGCAGACAGGCAAGCAGGCAGGCAAGCACGAAAGCACGCAGGCATGCAATCCTTGCGTTCGCACGAAAGCAAGCGAACAAGCGAGCCAGCAAGCAAGCAAGCACGAATACATCGACCGACGCAAACAGCATAGCCAAGAGCTGTATGCACTATCTCTGAATAGATCAAACACTTGCTTTTGCCTTTGTCACACAATTTCATATCATTTGCTCATTGCATCGGCGGATGCTTTTGTGTTTTCTTGAGGGTACCCTTTGCATGTGGGTTGAAACCAATCCAGCAAGCCGAAGCCACTTGGGGAGATTGTGCAGCATGGCGCATGGACGATGTCAGCCTTTGCCCAGGCCTTGTCGCTGGCGCCAAAGGCCCAGGCGCCCTTTCTGGTGACCCTTGGGGCAGCTTACGAGTCACGGCGCGGCGCCTAGGGGTTGAAGAGGTGGGGAGGCCATTTCCCTAAGGTCCGGGCAAGTCCGAAGTTACCAATTCAACAAAAAGACGGCCCTCAAAATGCGGGACGTCTGTTTGGTTTCCGTCTCTAGGGTTGTGAGGATCCTTTAGTCTGCGAAAAACCAGCAAAACCAGCCGGTGTTGTACGAGTCTAGCTGTTGACATTGCTCGAAAACAACAAGCGTAACGGAGAAAGCAATTGGCCCTGCTTTTTTAAAGTTGCTTCGTCATTTTCCCGCAAATCAGATGTAAGGTTTGAGGGCAGATTATGGCCCCGTACCTCGAGTTGTGCTGGCAATGCAGTGGATTTGGGGCCGGGAGTCAGGCTAGGCAATTGCTGAACGTGAGCTGAGATACAGATGGGTTGCTTAGAGCTTCTAGAGTCCAGGGTCATGGTTTGCTTCATGTCTGGATGACTCATCATTTACAGGAGGACTTTTCATTTGACGAGCACTGACACAACACCCTCATATGAGCAGATTTGTTTTTGCTATGTATTCGCTTAGTATTCGAGGGGAACACCCTTAGTGCCGCGGAGACACCGCGTCGGTAGTTGTTGGGAAAACGATCGCGTAAGCAGTCTTCGTAGGCTGTTCAAGAAATTCCGGCGTACGTAGGCATGTTCTGCCTTATACAAACTTGAGAGAAGTCTCCGCGTCGGTGCTTGTCGTGGCGTAGGCTTAGGCACCTTTCCAGTGCTTTACACCCGCGGAGGCTTCGCGTAGGCATGGCTGCCAGTGTATAGTGGTGGCTTCTAGCCAAAGCCGGGCCAAAGCAGAAATCCAATCCGTTAAGAGGAAGATTCCGCTTGAGAAAGTTCCCACAATTGCCAAAGTAAGTGTTCTCCAGCTTGTCTTAATGCTGCTAAAGCCCGTGCAACCCGCTGATTGCAGACCTTTGTCCATGAAGGAATGGGTAGCTCCTAAGATAGGCAGTTTGGTTGGTTTGCAAGCAAATCCTGCATCCGAGAAACCGAGGGGCATGAGAGAAGCAGATGGAAGAATCACCTTTAGCTTGACGGGACGTTCCAATACTCCCTTTTGGGGGCAATTAGCTGCCCTCCAGCGGCAAGGCTGCGAGGGGACTTGACCATGTCGGACTCCGGCAGGCGCCGGCAGATGGAGAGGGCAGACTTTAGTTTTGTTGACCAGAAGCAAACTTTTCAGCCTGCAAAGAGACTTTGTTTCCGCCATTCTTACTAGCTATCTTGTTCGAGCACGAAGGAGGTACGTTCGATGGAGTGAGCACAAGTTTGTGTATACTAGGGTCACACCGTGCGAGGTTTCAGGATGGTGTTAGGTTGCAAAGGAATGTGGAGGTGACGTAAACAGGGCACCAGTCTATGAACGTCAGGCACGAAGTGAACCACAAACTGGAACAGACCAAGTATGTTTGGCATAAACTGTTCCATCCGCAGTCAGGTGTATGATGCAATTATCCGAAACAAGCAACAAGCTGACATATTGACTAGAAAACCTTCACCTCACACTCGCGGCATAGAGGCAGATCAATGCTTTCCAGCTCAAAGGGCTACGCCGCATCCTCAAACTAGAACAGCGTTCGTGATTAGAAAGGCTAGCGCATAGGCAGGGGTGCACGCATGTTTTTCTCGGACCTCCGTGTAACTCCTGAGCCAAACAGTGCTGTGCTTTCCCAATTGACAAACGTCGCGTTGTTCTTCCACAAACACATGAGACACAAACACACACACGCACACACGCAGGGAGGCGATAAGAGTTTGAAGACACCCAGAAGCAGATCGCCGGCACTGGACATTTTTCAATGTTTGAAAACAGATGCTTTTTAGTAACGCATTTTGTTTCAGGAATCAGTTTGAGCATACGCTTATGTATGTGTTGATTCGTTGTGGATCCATGTGTTTGCTACATGTTCCTCAGCTTTTGTTATCCAAATGCCGTGTAGTGCATCTAGAGGCCTGTGTCCAGGGTACGTCTAAACTAAACGTCTAAGCTAGACGTGGTGCAGGCATGCTAGCAGAGGGTCTATGACAGGGTACGACCAGCGCCAACCCAATTGAGTAAACAGTCACTCTCCTACGTGGCTGTGACGCAAAACTTACTGACCTTCAGGGGCACATTCCTAAATGGTCCCCCCCGCGCCTGATTGGGCAAGCCCAAGACGCCCGCTTGACCATTCACGCATCACACCTCGGTGGGACGAGCTGCAGGCCGTGTGCAGACACGGTGCCAGACTTGGCCAATGGCGTTGACTTCACCGCCAATTCGTGGGATGCTGAGGCCACCCAGATCAGCAGACAATAGATAGGCATATCCTTCTAGGGTACCACTTTACGGGTAAGTGGTTGAACTGTTGGAATGAATCTGGACCCGGTCAAAGAGCTTTGCTTGCTTCAGCGCCAGCCATGTGCTCACGGGCAGATACCATCAGATACCGCTTGGTCTGATGTTGCAAGTGCAGTGCATGAGTGATATCAACGAGGAAGGCCGATTCAGTAGGGTGAAGCTCACTGAAGTATGCGGTGCATGTCTTCATATCGAAAGGCCACTAGATGTTTACGCTCAATATGGAACTTCACTCACTCCCGTGCACACACACACACACAGAGCCGAACACACAGCCACAGAGAGCCGAACACGCACGCACACAACCTGAGGTGGGTCATCGGGCCCACCTTCATCAGGCGGGCATTGCGCATCTGGGTTTGTGTCCACAGCTAGGGGTCCTTTTTGAGCCGCAACGGGGCGTAACTTGAAGCGTGGGTAGTGGGTAGTAAGGGGTAGTTGTCCCAGTTGGTCCCAGAGGTAGCCAGTTGATAATTCATGCTGAACAAAGGGTGTTTGCATGTGTTTCATGTTTACCGCGGGTTCGGCTCCCTCGTCTTACTTAGCTCACTCCATGATTTTGCCTGGGTGGCACAAATTCTTCATGTCATCCTACTCCAGGAAGCTGCAACCCGGTTTCCTCATGGTAGTATTTACCTCCGTGTCCTTTCATGTGAACATGCTCCCGCTTTCCTGGTCGGCTTTCCATCAGCCAACGAGGATGCCCCTATGAAATGGCACTCCTGGGTCAGACAGATGTGGCTATGGCTGATGTTGTTCGATGCTTCAGGCTCGGCACTGCCTTCCAAAGCATGCAGGGCACGCTGATGAAGGCCGGGGCGTGACGAGCATCCCACGTGAAGCGCTCTTCTTCTCACAAGCAAGCCATCATGTTCGAACCTTCGGACTGACCGACGTGCCAGCAATAAGGCCTATGCAACCTTCATAGTCACATATATAATATTTATATGTTTTGCATGTATCTGTGAATGCATCGGATAGGCAGTGCTGGGTGAGGCCGAAGTACCCACATGATACGTGTACATGGTGTATCCGATGGAATGGGGCTCAAGGAGAGCCATGTTTGCAGAGAAGGGGCTTGAACTTGTTTGCGCAATGTTCACATTAAACATTGTACACGTGAGCTAATGCTCGATTGTGTATGTTTGCGGTTTTGGTTGGGTACCCCGTGATCGACCACACGCAAAGTTGAGCAGGGTGCCCGCAAACAACACACGTACACACATACATGCACGTCACACATACATACATGCATACGTATATGCATGCATGCATGCATGCATACTATACATATATATATATGTGTATACCTAAAGACAGACAAGACAAGACAAGACAAGACAAGACAAGACAAGACAAGACAAGACAAGACAAGACAAGACAAGACAAGACAAGACAGACAGACAGACAGAGAGAGACAGACAGATATACAATTGCATGCACTTGCATATGTACATACATACATACATATATACATACACACCTCCCCACCTACCTACCGGCCTGCCTGCCTGCCTGGCTACCTATCCTACCTACCTCCCTACCTACCTACCTACCAAGCTACCTACCTACCTACCCACCTACCCACCTACGCACATACCTACATACCTACATACCTACGTACATACGTACATCCGTACATACATACATACATACATACATGCATACATGCATACATACATACAGTTACAGACAGTTGCATACATGCCCACATGCTCACATGCAGACATGCACGCATACACGTACATACATACATACATACATACATACATACATACATACATACATGCTTACATACATGCATACATACATACAGACACGCATACATACATACATGCATACATACGTACATACGTACGCACGCAAATACATACATACATACATGCATACATACATAAATACATACATACTTGCATATATAAACACATACATACATACATACGTACATACGTACATACATACATACGTACATACGTACATGCATACACACATACAGCCGTACGTACATACATATACATGCCCACATGCTCACATGCAGACATGCACGCATACACGTACATACATACATACATACATACATACATACATACATGCTTACATACATGCATACATACATACAGACAAACATACATACATACATACATACATACATACATACATACATACATACATATGCACATACACATACACACACATACATACATACATACATACATACATACATACATACATACATACATACATACATACATACATACATACATACATACATACATACATACATACATACATTACATACATACATACATACATACATACATACATACATACATACATACATACATACATACATACATACATACATACATATATACATATACAAATACATATACATATACATATACATATACATATACATATACACACATACATACATACTTACATGCATACATACATACATACATACATACATACATACATACGCACGTACGTACATACGTACAGACGTAAATACGTACATACGTACATACCTACATACCTACATACGTACATACGTACATACGCACATACGTACATACATACATACCTACATACGTACATACGCACATACGTACATACATACATACGTACACACACATACATACATGCATACACATACACATACACATACACATACACATACACACACACATACACATACACATACACATACATGCATGCATGTATACACATACATACATACATACATACATACATACATACATACATACATACATACATACATACATACAGTTACAGACAGTTACATACATAATTCATACACATATGTACATGCATACGTACGTACATAGATACATACGTACGTACGCACATAGATACATTTACATGTACATGACACAGACTCACACACACAGACACAGAGACATAGAGACGCAGAGACACAGAGACGCAGAGACACACAGACACACAGACAAACAGACACTCAGACACACAGACACACAGACACAGAGACACAGAGACACAGAGTCACAGACACACACAGACACAGACACACCCGCACACACAAACGCGGACAGAGACACAGAGACACAGAGACACAGAGACACAGAGACACAGAGACACAGAGACACAGAGACGCAGACACACAGACACACGGACACACAGACACCCACACACAGACACACACACACACACAGAAACACACACGCGCACAGACACAGAGACACACAGAGACACATAGAGACTCATAGAGCACACAGACACACACAGACACACACAGACACACAGACACACACACACAGACACACACACAGACACAGAAACACACAGAGCACACAAACACACACAGACACACACAGAAACACACAGACACACAGGAACGCACACGGACACACACGGACACACACACACACAGACACACAGACAGACACACAGACACACAGATACACAGTCACGCACAGTCAGACGCGCACGCACACGCACAGGCACAGGCACAGGCACACGCACACGCACACCCACACGCACACCACACCCACACCCCCACACACACATGTGTGTGTGTGTGTGTCTGCACGTCGGCACACACACACACACACGGCCGTTTTTGCTTCAATACGCTAACCGTGCTCGCAGTTACCGATCACCGTGGCGACGTCCTCCGTCCTGTACCTTGAGGCCTGCGGATTTGAATCGTCATGGCAGGAGCCGAGCAGTCATTGGCACCTGTTGTTTGGGACAGATGGGGTTGCCTGTAGATTGAGTCACCAAGAAAACTGGCTCTTTTTTCGGGGGGGACCCCCAAAAGCCATCCGGTTTCCACCAAGCCCCTGTTGCTTATCCACAAGCCTGGTTTCTTCCGTGTGTGCCATAAGCCCGCAAGAGTGTGAACTACTTTGTGACCTGTGTCACAGCTTTGTTCGCTTGCTACACGGGCAGCATTTGCCAGCTGCAAGCAAGAGGGACGACTCTCGTCTCACGTCGAAGCTGTTTATGGTGGCGTGCCATTCGTGCGCGGCCATGATAAAAACTATGCTGTTGTTTGATTCAATTTGGTCTCATCCAGGTACATACGGGGTGTCATGACTAGCGCAGGTGCCATGCCCTGAGGTTTCTGTCCTACCCCCAGGCAGAGGCATTCAAGCCGTTTTGCCCCAAACGAAAGAGAAAGAGAACGTGAGCAAACTGGGCTGCATGCTGCGATCCTGCCTGAATCATTCCCTGGCATCTACAGTGAGCATTGTTTCAAAACCCTCCCTACAATATGGAACCTCACAGAGGACTCAGCCAATTTTGGTCGATTCGCGGGGGGTTCCTGTTCCGCTTTATTGGTTGGATCCGGATCACTTGTCGGGATGGCACCAACCCCCACTCCCAAACTATTGATACCCCATCCCCCACTTCCACTTCTATTGAATAGTGCAGCCCATGAGCAACTGCAGACGTCAAGGGCTATCCCGGATCTAAGGTCAAGGAGTCGCTATTTACTGATTGATTTGTGAATAAGCGCCTTCATCGCACCTGTCTGGAGGTCCGTGCATTATTTTGTTGAGCGCTTGTGTCCTGCCGGGGGATGTTCTGGCCCTGTTTGGAGGGGCCTTATTTCTTCAACCCCCCCCAACCGGTTTTATTTCCGACACTCTACTCGTCTTTGGGCCCAAGCAGAAGGCAGGGGTCCCAAAAACCAGCTAAACAGAAGAAACACATATCAAACCATCATACAACAAGTCGTTTGATTTTTGATGCTTGATGGATGGTCCCATCCTGCGCAGATCCGGTCCAACTCCGGCTAGGCTGGCTCAGCGCTTCCCCTGGACCTGGTGCGCATTGCGCTGCAGGCGCGGAAGCCGGAACTAAAATCGGTGAGCCCCTGGTGTCGGATGGGTTTCAATCGGCCCCAGGCAATGATCAGAAGCCCGGCGTTAGCCATGGGTGTGTCCTGTTCTTGAGCATAGAGAATCGTTTGCGGCGTGAACCGTTCATTTTTTTTTTGTGTGTGTGTGTGTGTGTGTCCATGTGTATCCTGTTCTAAGCATAGGGAACCACAACGAACCCACGGGTGAGAAGCCAGGGTCAGGTGATACGACGGCAACCTCTTTCAACATAGCAAGCCAGCAGCGCAGCGGCTACGGCCAGCTGTCCTTGCCTTCCCCCGCTTGGATCCGTTCGCCGAGGTGCCAGAGGGCTTGTGGGTCGGGGAGCAGCGGGGCTATCGAAACTCCCTGGAGATCGAGCTGCCGGCGGGGAAGTGCGCAGCTTCAATCCAGGGAGAGATGGCAGGATGCAGGTTTGCTTTTATTGGGCATCTCACTTCAAATGAAACACCGCCTGAATTGGGCAGGGTTACCTCAGGATAGAACGTCCAACAGGTCAGGTGAGTTGCTGGTTTCAGGTCTCCAGATTTCTTGGTGGCATTTGAGCCTTGCGAGGTACTCAGTGGAGATCACCCAGCCAAAGCCGTCGCATTTGGTTGCTGGAAGCTTAGCCATGGCAGTTTGATGCACAGGGTCTTGGGTGCTTGTTTGCCAGCAAGCACGAATCCAGAATTGGTTCAATCGGTATGTGGCTCTGCATTTCGGAGGTGGCAATTGCACTTGCTGATTTTGTGGGAGGTTGCAATTGATGCACTGTCGACAAACAGCTCAACGTTGGATTGGGCGCGTAGTCAAAGAGCTCAGGCAACCTTTCAAGCATGCCACCAGTTGCTTTGCGAAACTACCCAGTTGTAGCCGCCCTGTTTGGAGGGCTGGATGGATCCTTGTTGAAAAGGTGTAGCGATCGGCGAGTGGAACACACGACCATGCCGTGATTAAGTGCCACTGCATGCTTCAGTGCGCGTTAAGGATGACATCAAACGATGCCTTGATTTCAGCGTCTACATCCGCTGCATGCCAGTGAACCCCGCCGGGGTCTCAGCAATGATGCCTTGCCGTCGGAATAGGCAGGGATGTAGTTTTCCTACGGCAGCAAACGGTGGTCGGCTTGGCGAAGCTGCTGATTTTGATCCATGATCAAGGGTAGCACTTTCGCCAGTTTTGACCACAACTTGGGAAAGGGGCGGTATAGAGTGAATGAATGGCGCAGCTATCAAACCTGAACGCGCGTGAGGCAAAGTCGATGCACCACTACTCGTCGTGTCAGTCAAGCATGATGGAGAAGCGTGCCTTTTGACTTGTTGACCTGTATTGATTTGGCCATGGGTCAAAATCCCGTATTTCTGATGAACATCCCAATCCCCACTAAAATAGACTAAAATGGGTGGTGCACCTACCCCAATGGTACCATTGGTTTTGACCCACAGCCATTTGGAAGCTTAGAGATATGTCAAGGCCAGGTGAGGCGATGTTGGGATTCCAATCGTTGGACCCCACAGAACAAGCACAGCAACCAAAAGAGCACGCACGCACAAGCAAGCAAGCAAACGAGCGAGCGAGCGAGCGAGCAAGCCTGAGTTGTTTGACGCGCTTGGCCTTTTTGGAATGACACGTTGTCAAATAGAGGTACGTACCAGCAGAAGCCACACCGGCCTCAAAAGAATAGTTTTTGGGCTTGACTCCCCGGAAGTATTTGTCCGCTTTGCTTAAGATAGGCCGGCAGGCTTTGGGGCAGGATTAGAACCCTCCAAAATATTCTTCTTGCACGCACCCTTTTGCTTACTATTCAGGCCAAATAAGCCAAGGCCAAGCAAGGCCTTAATGGTCGCAGGGAGTGGGTTCCCCGAGCTATTCAAAGACCCTGGAAGCGCCCCGTGAAAATCCCTCACACAGTCGGTGTTTTTGTTTCTGCTGACAGTGCAGCCAGCCAGCTGTCAGCTCCACGCCGTTCTTTTGTTCACGGCAAGGGGGGTTCATTGCATTGACGGATGGATGTCCTTTCTATAGAAAGATTGAGAACACTCTCCAGCGGTCATTTTTGGACTTGTTGCCGGCAACATGCCAACGATAGAACGTTGAAGGGAAGCATATAGCAGTCTCAACATCAAGCAATTGGATTCCCTGCTTGGCTATGTGTGAAAATACGCGGACGTTTTGTGGCTTCCCTTTGAGCCAAGCTGAAGAGGGCAGGTCTCCTCGAAGAAAAGAAAAACACACACACACACACCCTTTTTTGGGAAACGCCACCGTCAGCAAAGCCGTCAGCTGCTCTCGTCAGGCATTGGCCGACGGCACCAAGGCGGGGAGGGAGGGGTCGCCGTCGCAGGCCGTGACTCAGACGGGAGGAGTTCCTGAAGCAACTTCGCCATTGTTGTTGCTTCTTTTTTCTTGGGGTGGGGCCCGGGGGTGGGGGGGCGGGGGGCGGTGGTGGTGATACTAATATATACATAGATATGTACACAGGTGATACGCATCCGCAAATATATATATATATATACAGATAAGCGGTACGTATATATTATCTTGATGCCTCTTGACGGGAGGGAACGAGATGCTTATTGCTTGAATTGCTTGTGTGCTTTGTGTGTGTGTGTGTGTGTGCGTTTTTGCTTGCTTGCTTGCCTGCCTGCCTGCCTGCCTGCCTGCCTGCCTGCCTGCCTGCTTGCTTTATTGTGATTGTGTTTGTTTTTGTTGATTGTTCTTTCCTTATTAATTGTTGGTTTGTTTGTTTGCGGCCGTGCCCCGTGTTTGTGTTGTTGTTTGTTGTTTGCGTGTGTGCGTGTGTGTGTGTGTGTGTGATTTGTTTGTTTGTTTGTTTGTTTGTTTGTTTGCTTGTTTGCTTGCTTGCTTGCTTGTTTGTTTTTGTTTGTTTGTTTGTTTGTTTGCTTTTTGTTTGTTTGTTTGTTGTTTGTTTGTTTGTTTGTTTGTTTGTTTGTTTTTGTTTGTTTTTGTTTGTTTTTGTTTGTTTGTTTGTGTGTTTGTTTGATTGATTGTTTGTTTGTTTGTTTGTTTGTTTGTTTGTTTGTTTGTTTGTTTGTATTGCATTGCATTGCATTGCATTGCATCGCATTGCATTGCATTGCATTTTTTTTTCTTCTTTTTTTTTTTGTGTACTTGCTTGCTTGCTTGCTTGCCTGCCTGCCTGCCTGCCTGCTTGCTTGCTTGCTTGCTTGCTTGCTTGCTTGCTTGCTTGCCTTCCTGCCTGCCTGCCTGCCTGCCTGCTTTGCTTGCTTGCTTGCTTGCTTGCTTGCTTGCTTGCCTGCCTGCTTGCCTGCTTGCTTGCTTGCTTGCTTGCTTGCTTGCTTGCTTTCTGGTTTTCTTGTTTCATGTTTCCGTTTTCTTTTAGCGGATTTACGTGTTTTTTCATTGTTTGTTTGCTTCTTCGTGTTTTTGTTTGTTTGCTTGCGTGCCTGCTTGCACTTACTTAACTTTGTGCTTTGCTTTGCTTGGTTTGTTTGGCTTGTGTATATTTGGTTAGCTTGCCCAGGCTGGTTGTATATGCTTTGTTTGCATTGCCAGTCTTTTCTGGTTTGTGTTTTCTTTTTGGTTGGTTTATTTTGCGTGGTTTGCCTGCTATCAGCATCCTTGCTTGCTTGTTTGCTTGCTCGCGTCCTTCTTTGTTTTTCATTGTTATTCAGCTTGATCCGTTGATGTGAATGTTTTTGGCTAGCAGCACAGCACTCCGCTGTGTTAGGTCGCAGATGGAATGGTATACAAAGATGTCTCGAGACGCATGGATGAGTCCTTCAGATGGTTGATGCTTGTCGGCTGGATACACTTGATTCGCTAGCTCCTGTGCACTGCCGGAAATGCATGCACTGCCAGCTACCACAGGCAAGCTGTCTAAGCTTCCATGTCAAATGTCAGGCTTGAGAGCCTGCGGCTTCCCTATGAAATGCTTTGCTGCTTGTTACATGTGCCGCTTGACCTTTGGGATGTAAGCATTGATGTGGATTTTGATCTTGCAGTGGTCTGTCAATACTTGCTTAGGATCTATTTGCTGTTTGCGCGACTGCGATTTGGTGGATCCAGAAGGCATGCAACAATTTATGCGGTCTTCCTTCTGAAGACACCTCTACACACTAGATGGGGCTTCTTCGGTTTTAGAACCCATTGCAGGCATATTCGGCAGGTCTTGATTGCGGTTTCTCGGCTTGGGAAGTGGCTTTATGCCCGTCCTCCGCAGTCGTTTATCCTTTCCGCACAAAGACGGTGCGGGGCAAAAGGCCCAATGGCGTTCATCCGGACCCTGAAAGCGCGAGAAATTTTGGACTCTAGAGGCAATCCGACCATCGAGGCCGGACCAGTGGCTGGTGCAGAAGGGATCGTGTTACTAGGGCTGATGATCGACAGACTCTCTGAAGTTTTCATGCTACCCCTTGCAGCAAAGAATCGGATCACTGAACAAGGAACCCTTGGTTCGCAGGTTCACGAACAGTTTGGAGCGAAGAGGTGAGCTTCCCAAAATAGGGAGCCACCATTGGCCCATTGTTGAATGGTTTAAAGAGGGACCATGTCTAAACCAAACATGAAGGTGGGGGTGCCCTATTTTATGAAGCACCGATATATGTGTTCATAGGTATGCTATGTGCACGCATACTATGCATACTCGCATGTATATTTGCAGATCCCTTTTTGCTACGCCCACCCCCCCACCCACCCCCCGCCCCTCAGTTTTGTGAGCATTGTTCAGATGATGCAGCCAAGTGTGTTCAAGCAGCTGGGGACCTCAACCTTTTTCGAAGTCAATCTCGTGGGGTTTATAAATCTAAAGCCCAGGATTTAGGCCTGGATCCGAGATTCAATATGCAAAGTCGTGAGGGGACACTTATTGGACGAATATTGGATCCATTTTGGCAAATTATGCAAAGCACACCTGGGGAAACGCAAGCTCGCCCATCAAGGTTCCTTCTTCACTCCATTCAGACTTCAAAATCCCAGAATTGCGATGATTCCCGATGTATGGCCGTGGGCTAGATGAAGATTGCGCCTGTAGAAATCGAATGCCTGAAGGTTATGCTTGCACCAGTAATCGAAAGATGTCAAGAAGAGGCCTAAAGCTCGATCCCGGGGTTTGGACAACCCGAGGATAGGTGCAAAAGTTGTTGACTTGATGTGGTGCACGGCTCGGATGGTAGCTTCGAATTCAGGTTTTTCCAAAAAAGGCCGAAGCTTTGTTGCTATCATGTCACCCCCGCCCCCTTAAATGGAATTGGGGGAGGGGGGTGACCCTGGAACTAGATAAAGGGAATTGCGCCCACCCCACCTCCCCCCTGAGGTAGGGGGATATCATGCTATGCTAGGTGTGGTCAAATGAGGCTATTGGAACTAAAACAATGAGGTCATTCATTTGTCGGTTCGACTCCAGACAGATATGAAATACTTCTCCTAGTGCAATGTTGCATACATTGGCTTCCTCATTTTTGTAGACTCCACTGACGGAAGGTGGCACTGTGTCAAATCCACTATTTGGCCACTGGTTTTAACCTTTCCATAAGTAACCAAGGTAGGTCTCGTTTATGCAGATACCAGCTTGTTGGACGAACAGCTAGGTTTATACTTGGCGGTCCCTTGCTCAGTTGTGTTTAACATGCTTTGCGGAGATACTTCAAACTTGAAGATGGTCTTTCTGGTGGCAAGAGGGTTCCCGAGGCCTTCCACTGCTCATTCTTCGGCACGTGATGGCCTCCCATTCTATATTTCACGTTGTCGATAGTGAACTTGAAAAGGGCATTATTTGCTAAGATGGTATTGGTAAAACGTTAGGTGTCAACATGGAATATGGTTAATGTAGCAGGTTCGGTAAACAATGATGCTGCGCTGGACAATCTCAGCAAAGTCGCCTGAGTATGCCACGGGCTGTGCTCTTCTCATTTTGTGGCTTGGATCATGACCTGACCGATGCTAGTCGCGACATGTGGATTTTAGATGTGGCTCAGTGAGGCATCATCCTTTCATTCGGTATTAAATTAAAGGAGCGGGCAAGAAAGCTATGCATTGCAGCAATCACTTAGAGGGGTCCTTTGCACCTTCGCTTGTCTCGAATCGTCGCTTTGCAGGTAGACCTTGCAACAGACAAGGGTCTCTTCCGCGCTGCGGTCCCGTCAGGCGCGCCGTCAGAAAATGAACTTCAGTGGGTTGGCTGCAATTCAAGAAAGGGTACACCGTGCTGGATTTGTTGCTTTTTTGGCTCGGCTCGTTTTGAGCCAAGGTGGCACTGTCGGTCGTAGGAAATCACGATACAAGGAAAACCGGGTTAGTTTGGATGCCACTGGTTCAGACATCAATCGACTCATGAGCTCACGCGATTAGTTGAGCAACTGTCAAGATTGAGGACGACAGAGCACATTCTCAGAAATTATCACATGGCCCGTCGGCTTTCCAACCAATTTCTTTGGGGGTGGTGGTGGTGGTGAATCTTGATAGTGGCTGAGAGAAATACTCGAGGAATTTACGGTTCACTTGGCCAATGTTGCTCTCGATCAAGTTTGAGAGTTTTGGCAAGCCGTTGTCTTGGAGAAGTGACTCGCCTAAAAAACAAAAAATGCACGAGCAGATGCACCAATGGCATTGGGCTGATGTTATCTGGCCCCCAATCAACCAATGTACTATCAGCCTCTCCGCAAGCAATGAAGAGCAAGGTTTGTTGGCTGCAGGATTCCAGCCCTGAGAGCAATGTTGTATTCCCCTAGTTGCAAAGGAGCATTAATGAACAATACAGAGGCCTTTTTCGAACATTGGTTTTGCCTTTTCCTTTGTGAATTCAGGCCTACTTTATCGGAACACATTGGCACGCACAAGCACAAGCTTTCCAGCACAGCAACTAGGAATACTGGTGTGTGGGCTAAATTTGTGATACGCCAGCACAGATTGCAATGACCAGTGCCCAGCATGCGCACCTGGAAACGGCGAGCTGTTTGCGCTTGAGCACGGTGCTCGCGTGGCTTAGTGTGCCTCTGTCACAAGCATTTCTACCTGCACATGTATGCATGGGGTGCTTCCCTTGTGTGTGTGTGTGTTTCTGTGAGCCCGGCCATTGAAGTATCGAGTCGCCTTGGGTTATGTTTGACGGCACATGCTGGATTTTGCGAAGTTGGCTAACCGCGCTCTTGTTTCGACGCCTTCTGCTTTTCCCTTATTTGATATTTGTTTGGTTTCTGCAGTGCTGTTTCTACAGCCAGAGCGGATGGGACAAGTGCTTGCCCAGTGGTGCCTAAAATGTCTTTCATTTGTCATTTAGTATTTTGATGCTTTCTTGATCTCATGCTTTAGCAACCGAAGAAGGCTTTTTTGGAGTGT